AATTAGTAAATAATAATAAATCAGCATCATATATCAGCATTATTTTTTAATATTATTAATTTTTCAAATGATTTATCGTTCAATCTTTGACCATTTGATCTATTAACAATAATCTTTCAACGGGGGCTGAGGAGTGTAATATTGTGTTATATTTAATAAATATTTCTTTTATATATTTATAACTATTTAATATATTTATACTCCGCCTGTCATCTTTCATATAATTTAGGACCTCTATTTCAATATCTTTTATTGAATTTTTAGAATTGGATATGGTACTTTTAAGGCAAAAGTAATGATCATCTTCATCAATTGAAGATTTTGTTGAAGTATTAATTTCAATATTATTTTTAAAAACAATTAAAACTTCATGTAATAACAAATCCTGAAGGTATTTTTTTTATTTTTCACCATCAATCCAACGATTTTTTAAATAGGGATGAGAAATAGTTGCTAAAAATGCACTTTTAAAATTGTTATCAAAATCATGTATATTTTTAAATCTTTTATTTAAATAATTTTCTATGGCAATAGCTAGTGGTTTGCAAAATTGTAGATTGGGTTGAATTAAATTTGTAATTTTTTTTAACGACATTTAAAATTGGAGCTGATTCTCCATAATAGCAGTTGATTTCACTCTGTATTTTGTCAATCGCTATAGCCAATGGGGCCATTATATTGCAGTATTCTTCTAAATATTGAATTTCAATATCTCTTAATTTAGGAAATTCTAATTTTTGACATAATTTAGGAAGTTCGCCTTTAAATTTTAATAAACTATGAAGACTATCATACAAATTTCATCTAGTGCAACAAGGTGTAACTAATTGTTTTCCTAAAACTGCATTGATAAGTTATGCAGTTTTAGGCCTATTATTTGCATTCCATAGCTTAGTACATTTAGCTATTACAGGATGATGAATTTTAGAAATGTTAGGAGAATCCTTAATAGCTCTCTCGACATCTGTTGTGGCAATTAGACTTATCGTTTGGCACAAACAACGAATGTGTTGAGGCAATGTTATTGAGGCTTCTTTAGACCCTTAAATAAACAAATATATAAATTTATTTGAATAATTTTTTTTACTAAATTTACAATATCATAATAAATTTTAAAGAAGTATTAAATAATACTTTCAATGATTTCGAATTCTATACATTCATCATTATTGATGTCAAAGTCATTCTCTACAGCTTCCAAAGAATATCCAAACTCCTTGAAAGCTTTCTTAAAGTTTGAGCCGTTATCTGTAACAGTTGCTATAACTTTTTCGTCAATACCAAAGTCACGATGAATTTCTTTATTATGATCATATTGAAGTACTTCAAAAAATTTGCCATTAAGTATGCTTAGTTTAAATTTATTGTTATAATTTTCGGTTGAAGAATTATCTAAAAACGAAGATAAACATATTATTCTATTTTCTTCTTCCATAATTTTAAAATAGACAGATATAAAACGATTCAAATATGGTAGTTCTAATTGTTAGCAAATTGCTATATGACGACCAACGTCATATATCAAAAATTATCTTAAAATATCTAAATTTTGATTATATTTTTCATTTAAATCTTAAAACATTCATTTTAAATTTTAATACTATTTAAATTAACCAATATAAATTTTTATCTGTATCTTGAATATAAAGTTGGTTAAGATACAAATACTTTTAAATAATATGTATCTTAGATACTGGATACAAGATACTTTCCAAAATTTTTAAAAAGATACAAATATCCGCGATACTGCCCAACCCTGAATATATATATAGAAATGGACTTTTGTAATAAAGCATGTGTTATATAATTATGCATTTTGGGTTTTTAAAGGGATGGACATGTGGGATAATTTATTATTAATTAATGTTAATATATTGTATATGTAATTCAGTTTCAATTAAGGTTGATATATTATTAAGTGATCTATTGAGAGTGAGTTAATGTTGTTTATTTTGAAGTAATTAACTATTTTTATGAAATAGGATGTAATGTGAATTACACATATGATATATTTAATTATGAATGATAATTTAAAGGAATTGAAGTATGATGAAGTCAGAATAATATCTATAATGTTATAGGTGGATAGTTATTTTGATTTAGTACCTGCATTTGATATATATATAAATTGGGTATGGATTTATATGATATATTAGATGATGTGTAATATTTTTTTCCAAATTATGAAATCTTTATATTTAATATATATATATATTTTTAAATTATAAAATTTTATAAAAGTTTTTTGCAAGTATTATATTATTTTTATGATATGCAATGATGTAAAGGGAAAATTATTTTACAGATAAGGTCAGCCCATGTTGATGGATATGCCTTGAGGTGGGAATATTGTTTGGTTTGATACTGGAGAAAGTTTTTTTTGTGTAAATTTTATTTTTGTAAATTTATGCTGCATATTACATTTTTTTTAATCTTTGTAATAATTTTATAGCACATCACATTTTACTATTTATTTTATGAACATTTTTTTAAAGAAAAGACTCAAATTATTTTATATTGTGAAGGTATATTAAAAATTCTTTACATATATATCATATAGCCCATTATATTTTTTTGTTACTTTGCATTTTACATTTTTAATTATGATGGCAGAGTTAGGTAGAAATGGTATATTTTTCTTAGGATACTGAGTAATTCCTAGATGGAAAATATTGTATTTTCTACATATTATATATTTTTCCTCCCTATAAAATATTAAATTTATTTCTATACATATGTCTTTTAATTTTATTTAAAATCTTTGTTCGGCAAATTTTCACAATTATTTTTAACACCTAAAATTGGATTTATATATCTATTTTAGGAGATATTTATAAAAATGTAGCTTTGATTTTGTTTACATGACAGAAGGACAATTACATGTGTTGAAATTGCATTTCACACATAGACCATGTGTTCACATTACAGTATTATATGTAAAATCATTATTTCCTAATTACCATTAATCATACCCAAATAATGTATATTATAGCTCCTATTTCCCAAATGTCTTAAAATGAATGAATTATTATGTTTTGCTGATATTACATTGTCCATATTAATGTTCCATAGATTATAAATGCAGATACCCCAATGTACATGTCATTATTGATAATATGTGTTTTCGCGATTATATATTGAAATGTATCGGAGATATTATATTATAAATCATCATAAGGGAAGACGATTCGATAAATTCCCTGAACGTCTTCAAGGCGTCTCGATACAATTCAAAGAGGTGATTCGATACAATTCAAAGGGGCGATTCGATACAACACCACCACAGAGAGAGGGACGCTGGGCTTGTCAAGGTTGGGCGAAAGCAGACGTCATATTTATTCATAAAAATATCTAAAGATTATAAACTATTAAGTAATATAAAACAGTTATCGAATATAATAATAATTATCATAAACTATCCAGCTTCCATAAATTCTTCACCCCAAAAGACACCTAAAGAAAGCTCCATTGTTCCTCCCAACCCACGTGATGATCACGTTTTTTCTTTCCCACCTAGGAAAACTTAATTCCCCTGTCAGAAAATAACTGACATTTGATGTATTTTATTAAATTTATTCTTTTTTTTTTCAACAGCCACAACAGTAAGTAAAATAAATTTTTTTTATATTGTGCACAGTGTATAAAATATTGACTAGAAAATAATTTAAAAAGCAAGTTTTATAACATATATCAAATACAATATTATCAAAAAGCTTACTATAACTATAATGTAATTTTTAATTTTCGTGTGGATGTTGCCAATTCATCTAGAATTTCGTTCGTCGTTGGAACTAAATCTCTATGAATATTTAACATAGCTAATCTATTTAGCCGAGATTCTGAAGTAGTACTTCGTAAAAATGTCTTCAGCCTTCTCAAGTTTGAAAATGTCCTTTCATTCGTGCATGTTGTAATAGGCAAACATGCAAGAATATAAAATAACTTCAAAATATCGGGAAATTGAGCCAACATGCCAAGACATATTTAAATTTTGTATATTCTGTTCTAAAGAAAAATGAAAAATATAAAATTAGATATTTATTAATAATTAAAATATTATTAAAAATAAATTCAAACTCACTCACTAATAATTTTGAATTTCATAAAATAAATATATTTAATAATAAATTATATACCGTTTGATTTCAATATCTTTGTCTTTGACTAAAAATTTCTCCAATTTTTAATAAATTTTTTAATAATGTTAATGTACTCACAAGGAAAGGAAATTTAAAAAAAATTTATTTATAAAAAATAAGTTTTATGTTAGAAAATTGATATTCTAATATTTGTTAAATTTTGATTGGGAGGGGAGGGGGGAGTAAAATTTTTATTAGCTTAAGATGATATTTATAAAAAGTCAATTTTGCGATGAGAAGGGATTTCCCATTCCCCCTTATTGGTTACGCGCCTGATCGTATTATATTATCATTATTTTGTATGTTCATATTATAGTTTTATTTTGTATTCATATAACATTAATAATTTTTTTGCAAAAATAGACAAAAATTTATATGAATGCTTAATTATTTTTTTTATTAAAAAAAAATAGTGGCCCCCCTGAGCAGGTGGCCCCCTAACTGTAAATTCCTGGCCACGGCCCTGCTTTTTACGGATGAATTGTGCTCCTAGATTAAAATTTTAAATCTTGGATTCTAACCTAAAACCATGAGATTGGTAATACTAAATACTAAACTAGGTTTCGCTTTTTAAGGTCATCAAAATGTTTATAAATGAAATGAAGATAAAATTACACTATCTTTTATTTTAATAAAAAATAGAAAAAATCAATAACGTTTAACGCATACATCTGCATTGACATACACCCCTAGAGTAATCTCTTTAACATTAAAAGAGATTGGATATCCCAGCAAATTCAAGAAATCATCTATATGATTATTTAACCGATAATGAATATAATGTTGAATTATGATGGTTGTTCTTAGAATAATCATGTCTGTTTTGATGGACATTTTAATCACTTAGTCATCGCATGTGTTATGAAAAATACACTAACCATCGATAATGTAATTATAAAATTATCACGTATTCAGAACTTTTTATGTTCTTTACATTGCACCTCATGTACCATCAACTTAAATCCTCAATTAAATAAGATACCATCTTTTATTGTAAGGCTATATGTTAACTATTTAAAATAAATATAATGCTTAGATTCCATATTCTGTAATAGATAATTATGAAAGAATTTTTAATCTTAGTACAAATATTCTCAAAATATATTGCAAAAACCTAAAAATTATATTCTTGGAATTTACAAATCTTGATAATTTATTACAATTATGTACAGTTATTGACAATCATGGTAAAAATTTTAAAATTTATAACCTATAATAAAACCTAAGATTCTCACATATTAACAAATCTTAATGATGGTTTACCTATTCCTGATTTTTTTAATCTTGAAAAAGAATATAGCCTCTTAATATTGAATCTGCAAACATGGAAGGTTGTGGATATTAACAAGGGATATAATGTTTTTTTTTAAAACCTTAATTATGTTTTAATTTTTTTTAATTACTAGATCTGTTCATCATATCCTGAAAAATTACCTATTCCATTTTCAGTAAGTGAACATACATTATTTAAATGTGCATCATTTAGAAATAAAAACCGATTCCCAATTTTATCATTCATATATCCTGGATCACAAGTTAATTTGCCTTTGAATCAATTTAAATATAAGTACTGATAGGGATGCCTTTTAAGATCAGCTCAACCATTGATTGGACTTAATAATACACATTGCAAGTTTGATGAAGAATATCTTAATTATATATTGCCAAAGGGAAAGAGAGGATATATTGTAGACACACGATCTAATTTGGCTATTAACAATGCAAAAAATTTAGGTTTATGTCAAAATTGTTATACAAAAATTATCATCTAATTGAAAAAAAAGTTACATTGATATTTTTTATTAAAAAATTTGTAAGTATATTTTTTAGGGACCTATTGAGGTTAAATTTTAGAGCCAACTTAGATAGGATTTGAAAAATTATCCCATTTTTAAACTTTGCCTGATTAGTCTGGCTTGAATTAAATCTTGATCATTTTATCTATTATATGATTATCCAAATAATTAATTATAAATTTATTTTAAATAAATTAGCCTGTTCTATGATATTTTAGGTAAAATCCAGATTTGTAGATTTTAATATTACCCCTTTAAAGAATTGTCATTTTATCCCCCCTGGGTTATGCCTGCAGGCCTTTGATATTTTTTTAAATTAGTATAATTTATGTAGGTGGTGGAACAGAGCATGAAAGTAGGTACCCCCAATGGAAAAAAATCTACATTCCTATAGATATTACTTGTTTTCAACAATCCTACAAAAAATTGACTACTGGTAATATTCAATAAATATTTTATTATGTATTATATACTTAATTTAATTTAAAAAAAAGCCTTTATACATTAAAATACAATTCATTATTAGTTGAATACTTTTTTAAACAATAATTTATACATAAAAAATAGCCATTTTGTTGATAAAAAATAATCATATGAAATTTTTTCACATTAATATTAGCCTGTTTAGATGTCAACATAACATCTGACAAATGGTTATCGGTATTGGAAAGCTGTAATTGGTTGTCACATCTTCACACTTTGCTTAATGGAGCAAAAATTTTATCAGATTTACTCAAAAATACAGGTATTATTCATTACTAGAATAGTGGCTTATTTTTTTTTCTATTAATAATTGTTGGTATGCTGAATATGCCACTGCCTTATATATAGATGGCACATTTAGATAAATGTTCGATGTATTTTTAGCAGTGTTGTTAAACACGATATATAAAAATAAACCAAACCATGATAAAAAGATATAGATCTCCTACACTTGCTACAACATAATACAAGAATTTCCCTTTTGTTTTTTGAACATTCTTCTACCATAACAGAATATAAATATTTTGTAGTATTTGTTCATTATGAATTAATATAAATATACAAGGATATAAATTGCAATACTTTAAAAAGTTGTTATTTATGATAATTATATTTAGTTAAAAATGTTTGAATATAAATCATTTAGCACATAAATTATAAGTAGTAAATTAAAAAGTAATAATAGTGAGTTATGAATATATCAAATACATTTATTTTATGCCATAAATTGTATCCTTTATCAAATTATTGGGGGAACCTAACCACAAATGATGCTCATAATCTCCCAATCTGATATTTCTTTTAATATTTGGCCTTTTGAATTGATTAGAATTTATTGGATGGTATAATGATTGTACGGAAAAGGATATACATAGCAATAATAGACATACCAATAAAATTTATTTTTATTTTGGCCTATCCATAATATTTCTACCCTGGCCCCTTTTTAAAAATATTTTTTACACAAATTGCCCAACCAGACTCGAATTATTTTTATTATTAATTTGCATAATTCAAGGCAGGCTAAAAAAGATGTTTTAAAAACTCCAGGCTGGCTTGACCTGAAAATAATATATTGTGTAAATTCCCCAACCCTTTTATGATCTGTTTCCAGACAAAACGTTTTTTTTTGAACACCTCAAATTTTTTTTAAATTAAATATTGTATCATACTAATTAATTTCAACAAATTACTACCCTTTGTTTTGCGATGCTCGAAAACCTGCCTGGGAAACCACTTATGAAAAACTCTCTGGGAAATGGTCTAATAAATATTTTTCATCAGTTTCTCAGCCCAATATCTTTTTAGCGTTAGGCCTGCATTTTATCTCTAATTCTGATATTGTAAAAAATGAATATTAATTTTTTAAGGATCTCCAATATTAATTCATGGTACAAATGGCACAGATGCTACCTTGCAACTAACATCTTTGATACAGATCCTTTTAAACCCCGAATGTCGCACGTTCAAAGGGTTAATTTAAAAATAAATTTAAAAAATATGTTTTATTTTTTTTAAAAAAATTCAAATTTCAATATTACTATTATTTTAAAAAATTCTTATTTTTAGTTTTCAATCCTTGATCCAAAGGGAATGGATATGGGCTGGTCATCCTTTCAGGGATAGATGTAGTTCAGGGCCATTCGCTCTTTCCGATACAAGCAACAATTACATGCCTAACACCACGAACAATATCGATCCACTTTTAGAATCTTTAAACAATTTTACCAATTCTTCTACCAATTTTTCTTCTTTCCTTAACCCTAAAATTGACTCAAAGAATGAGAATAGGTAAATATTATTATCATTCTAAGAAATCATCTCATAAATTTAAAGCCGCATGGGATTGTTCCGATCAAATACCATCTTACCCATCTAAATATTATATATATACTCTCATGGAACTAAATTTTTTCATTTTTGACCTTTTACATATTATTTATCTGGGTGTATTTAAATCATTTGAAAATTTTTTTAAAAAAAGATTGGATTTTGTATTGCCAAATTTTAAACTTGGGAATTTAGGAATATAATTTTTATGCTGTCTCATTTATGTGATATCTTATATTAACGAGGAATACTTTAATATTTTTTATTTAAATAAATAAGAAAGTACATTTTAAACATTTTACAAGATTGCTTTATAAATTACAAAAAATTTTAATTGCAAAATTACATGCGTGGTTGTGTATAATGCATAAAAGACGTTGAAGATGAGGAATACTATTCGTATAATATCTGATTTTAGAAAATATTTTAAAGGATCCTCTCAGATTTAATCTACCCTAATGATTTGAGGGTTAAAACAACCATCCAGTGCAAAGAAAATTTTAGAAATAATCATTTTGCTTTAGAAAAGATCCTGGTTGACATAATAGTGAGGGTGACAGAACACACTAATAGTGTTCAAATATATTTAATAAATGGCGAATACATTATGCTAAATTTATGTAAAAGTCAAAATAATTTACTAAAAAGTTTTGAGTATTAGATTCAGAATATATTTGGAAGATTCCAATTTCAATCACATCCTTGGATGTATTACGAAAAAATCATCGAACATGTGAAATTTTGTCGACGATAACTGCACATCTAGTGTTAATAATTAAATGCCAAAACAAATCAGAAACATTTACAATGTTTTCGCCTTCCTTATTAAATAATATGTCGAATCTTGAATAGAGGAGATCCTAAAATGTAATTTTTTATGTGATATTACAGAAATAATCTTTAATCAACTCGTTGGTATACAAGCTTCTGTAGAATGGATCCTCTTTTGGCCTATTCAAATTCTAACTTGAAAACTGGCCAAGACTAGAAAAAGATAGAAAATTCTTATTTTAAATGTTTTATTTTAATAATAATAATAAATCTTGTATGTTTAAATTTTTATATAAATAGAAATGCTAGTTATATATTTGAATGTCAAGAATAGAAGATCAAATAAATTGATGACGAAGATTTATATACTTGAAAAGGAATCAAGAGAGTGGATATAATCATAAATATAAAATATCATTTTCTATCATCTAACCTATGGATTGAATTGGTATTGTATTATAAATAATTTTAGGGCTGTGGCGATACTAAATATCGGATCGGGCCGATACCTGTAAAAAATCGATCCTATCTTTTTACTTTTCTATTTTCTAAATAATTTTTTTTAAAACAATCCAAATACACAACACCCCGTGAATTTTATTTTTTTTAAAAAAATAGATTTATAGTATTTTAAAAGTTTTTTTTATAAAAATAGAAAGGAACACTCAAAGTTTTTTTTATTTAAAAAAAAATAGATTTATAGTATTTTAAAAGTTTTTTTTTTAAAAATAGAAAAAAAAACACCCAAAGTTTTATTTATTTAAAAAAAATAGATTTATAGTATTTTAAAAGTTTTTTTTTATAAAAATAGAAAGGGTTTTATTTATTTTAAATCTTTTTAAATAATAACGTCAATTTTATTATTTATACTATAATTAAAAGAATTTTTTAAATTTGGTATCTGAATTATGGAAATATTTTACAAAAGACAAAGATAATTTTGCAATTCACGGGGAGGAATAATGAAAAATTCATTTAATACTATCAATATCCGTAAACATTTTTTAATTATTGTAGAAATAAAAAAATTAAATGTATAATTCGATTTTTGCATAAAAAATATTGATTTCTATTACATTTGGTTCAAAGGGGGGTGATGAAAAATCAATATAAATATCGGATCGAATCGGTGAGAAATATGTGGATTGGCACAGCCATAAATAATATAATTATTTATTACAAGAATATCGCGAACATCATATTTTAAATAATCTAATATTTCCAATTCAAAATCTTAGGAATCATTATTTGTTGAGTTTATTTTTAGAACAAAAATAATTTACCATTTTTAAATAAATTTAAAATACAATATATCATTTGTATTTAGGGCCGTATCGATCAACAAATTATCCTTAAGATTTTTATCGATCCTATATTTTCTAATATCCTCCTCAAATCGTTCAGATAACTGGAATTTACCCGATAAATGTTGAATATCGGATAGGGAAGATTGGCATAGCTTTGCTAATATGCCTATCTTGTTGTATAGCATATATAACTTTAAGCCTACCTCTTCGCAGACATTAAAATTTGGCACGAATCAGAGAAAAAAAAATTTGCATTTCTAGTAGAAATATAATTCACTAAAAAATTTATTTATATAAAGCCACTTTAAAAAAAAATTGCGTTTTCGTATTTAAAAAGGTAGCAGAAATTTCAAGGAAGAAAACTACTCAACTCTTCCGCCCCACATTATAATTGCTCTAACACTGTCATAGCATATTTATTTACGATGTATCTTCATTTATTTTAAAACTCTTTCCACTTTATCTACTTTTATGGATTTATATTTTTCCGCAACAATAAATTACAAAAAAAAATCTTTATTTTTTAAAGTCCCACAGATTTTCAAACTACGACATCCGCTTTCAAAAATCTTGGCCTTTGGTTTGATTCGTACCTCCGTTTTCCTTTTCCAGAAGAAGCCACGCCACTTGTCCCCGATAAAATTCAAATTGGTGTTATTACAAATACAATGGACAACGGAGAATTTAGCGAAGAAATCAAAGATAATTATACCTATAAAAAGGACGATAAATCCTCAGGCGTTAACGTATTAGATGGAGGAGATACATGTATTGTGACTGGTAGAGCCTCTAATGAGCTCAATTCTGAAGTCAGCGATGCCAATGAAAATACCTTTGTTGACAATATAAGCATCGTGGATGAAGACGTAGTAAATAATCCACAAATCGCAGTCGGTTCTGACTCATCTTCGAGCGATTTTATCTTTACCGTCGAAGACGGGCTAAACGACAAAACCGAAATCGAATCTGAGATCAACCCGATAATGCAGCAAGGCTACACCATTCCTTTGCAGGCCCCAACATTCACCAGGCAAAAATGCAGTCTAAAATCCTTCTCGTCGTCTTCTTCCCACTTTAGTGCCGCCACTCAGGGACCCAAAACATATTCTAAAAAATATATCGGTCATCATAACAACGAGAAAGCTTTTCATTCTTTCCATAAAAATGGTAATAGTAATATTTATAATTACCGGAATGATGAAAGCCATTCTTCCAGTTTCGAAGTCGTGAATTCTGTCCTGCCCCAACCTAGCACTTTACCTTCAGCTGCTTCTCCCAAAAAGATGAGCACAGTCGATGGTAATTTCGCTAAGCCCGGTAATTATGCTAGTAATGGTGTTGGAGGCGGTGGATTTTTGAATAGAGCGAAAACTAATTTCCTACAGTCGATTCTCACTGGAACCGGACATATGAAGAGTATGAAAGGTCCAGTGATCATATTTTTTTAAAAAATTTACATAATATTAATCGTTTTTATGTAAATATCCAAAGAACCCTATATTAATCAAGCTAAGATATATCAAAATAATTTATTTACGAATATTTTTTTTTGATTATTTCGCCTACAGGTAATACTCGTAACTGGAATAGCGAGAAATCAGGTATAAATTTAAATAATGATTAATTTTTAGTGCTGTATCGTCGGTCTAGGAGTGATTTATTTGACTTTTTTAATTTTTGATAAAGTTGTGGATTTTAATTGATTAATTTCCCTTAAATGTGTAAATAAAAACTAGATTTAAAAGTATTAATTTTTGGCCCCGTTAAAGCACTCTCATTTTGGGTTATTTTCATTATTTTTAATGCATTATTACGATATATTATCATATTCTATAATTCCATTAAGCACCTGTTTTAAATTATATAAAATAAATTATTATAAAATATATATGGAAAAAATTATCAATATTGACAAAGTTTTTTATTTAGCTTATAATTTTTTTTATATTATGCCATTGGCCCTCTGGAAAAAGAATATTCCACCTTAAACAAAACGCCTTTGCTCACGGAAAACTCGTTATCTTCCTCTTTATCGCAGCCTAAAGATTATGAAAAGGACCAAATAGTTGCCAAGGATGACGAATTAGTGATAACCGCTCAAAATGTAGGCGTTGCTTCAATGTTACCTCATTGTGATAACGATTACGACAAATCTTTCATAGGGCTTAAATTCGATGGCCAAAAATCGTGTGCCATTTCTTCTAACGACGTAATTAAGCGCGACACTGGTATAAATAATGGCACCGGAAAACTTGGCAAGAGTCTTATCGGTGCTAGTTTTCAAAGTTATAAGCAAAATTTTAACACCCTTCTCAATTCCAACATTATCAACCCTTCAAATGCAAACTCTACCAATAAAACGAACGACGCGTTAGGCGTGAATGGGATTGAGAGAAACGCGGGAAATAGTAGCGACAATATTTGTCCAACTTTTTTGATATTTTTGGATTGCGTTTTACAGGTTTTACATATAAAATAAAAAATTTAACATAAATTTTTATTTGGATAATTATTATAATTTTTTTTTAAAAAAATATCCAATCCGATGAACAAGTACCAGGGTTAATTCTTTATATCGTTAATGGTGCAATTAACTGAAATTAAAATGATATGCCATTTAAAAATTATTTTCTGTATAAATCCATGCTAGATGACGTAATTAAACTAAAATTAATGAGATTAATATTGTCTTAGTGAATTATATCAGTGTTATTTAATTCGATTATTTTTTTTATTATCATTATAAAAATAATTGACTTAATATATTATCAGAGATCTGCAGCACGGGCAGGGCCGTATTTTAATTTTTTTAAATATACATGGGCTGGGCCTAAAAAATTTTTTTTTAATATATCCGGGCCAGGCCTAATATTGTTGAACCCGGGCCGGGCCTTAATATATTTTATAAAAAATACATTATGAGTTAATGGTTATAAGATTATATTATATTATAGTTATGATTAATATAATATGGGTGATGGTTAACACTACCTAACACCCACAGATCGATCAAATTTTTCCTGTCAATTAAATTACGCAATAAGAATTGAATTTTTTATAATTCAGCATCCAAGTCTATATTATATTTTACTACATTTAAACAAATAAATAACAATTAAATTCGCTCAAAATCTAAAGTAACTAATTAATATATTTTTTATAATTCATCATCTAAATCTTTAGCTTATATTTTACTACTTAAACAATCAAATAACAGTTAAATTTGCTCAAAATCCAAAGTAACTAATTAATTAATTTAATTTAATTATTTCATATATTATGGCACTAAATAATACCAATGATATAATCAATAAAATTAAAAATAATGTATATTCTTTTAAAACTAATCATTTAAAATCCTAAATATAGTCAAAATTTAATATCATAATAGACGAAAAAAAAAATATAGGATACGTACAATGTAAGAATTGTTCCAATTTATTATCTTATAATCATAATCATGGTTCATCTCAAACATAAATTTGATGGTAAATCCATGAAAATTAATAATTTTTTTTACACCTGAAAAACAGACCTATAAATATAATCTAAAATATTTAAAAGAAAAATTTATAGATCATTCCTTAACTCTTTGTGCAAAATATATTATGCCTTTCGAAATGATAGCTGAGAATGGGTTTCTTGAATTCAGCAAGGCTCTAATCGATGTTGGGGCAAAGTATGGTAAAATAGATGTCAAATCATTGATTTCACACACCACCACTCTATCACGCCACTTTAAGGAAAAATGTGAGAAAATAAGAAACCATTTTGTTGACACTTTTACACCAGTAATAAAAAATCGATTTATGGCTGCTTCCACTGATATATGGTGCGATGACCATAAAAAGAACTCGTTTATAACAGTTAACATGCACTATATATCAGATGACTGGAAGTTAGTGAAGAGAAACCTATTTAAAATTTAAAGAAGTGTCAAAGACTAGCAAAGTAGTTAAGGATGAACTATTAAAAAATTTTCACAATTTTAATTTTAACAGTAATGATTTTATTTATATAATATTTGTTACAGACCAAGGTAAAAATATTATAAAAGCATTGGAGTTAATTGAACGATTAAATTGTTGTTGTCATATATTAAACACAATTTTAAGAAATTCATTTAACTTCAAATATTTGGAAAGTAATGCCCCATTAATAAAATCAACAATAGATAATACTAAAATATTAGTGGGGCATTTAAAACAAAGTAATAAATGACAGCATTTGAAAGCCCTTTATCAAGATATAAGTCCGCTGGAACTACTATATGCTCAATTGTGTTTATTCTCAAAATGAAGAAATTATAAAAGTTCTTCAAGAACATGGGGGATCGGAAAAGTATTATATTTTCCGATCCTTCAGGATCTAGTCAATATTTTTGAGAATTTTAACAGAGCTATTGTTGAGTTACAGTCGGACTCTTGTACTCTTTTTAAAGTGGTAATTTGGTATTATGAACTTCTTGAAGTTTGTAATACCTTTCAAAGCGAAGAAGGAGAAATAAAATTGATTTTACTTAATATAAAGCATTTTTTAATTGAAAAATTTGTTTTACACAAGTATCATTTTATTTTTATTTTTCTCTGTCCCAAATTCAAGCAATTACTTATGTTGTCAGGGACAGATTGCAAGATGACGGAAAACTATATAAAAGATTATATTAAATTACAAGAGGCTCAGGAAGTTAATGAAATACCATCGACCAGTCGAATTACGACTGTTGCTAAATAAACTGAATCGTTTTATGACAAATGGGGCGATGGTAATTCTGGTAATATGTACCCGATGATGAATATAATAATTACATAAAAAATAGAACATTTAAGGTGGATAATTTGTTAGAGTGGTAGGCAGCTCACCAAAGCGAATTTCCAATTTTGGCAAAACGGGTATTGGCAATTTCTGCTTCAAGAGCTAGCTGTGAGCGCGATTTTTTCACTACTGGGAGAATTCTTGAAGAAAGAAGAAGTTATCTTCAACCTGAAAAGGTAAATATGCTTCTCTTTCTTCATGATAATTTGTGAATTTTTAATATCTTTCTTGAGTATAGGGTTTCGTCAATCATGCTGGTTTTTTACTTTGCAAACTGTCAAATATTTATTGCATTTATTATATTTTACCTGAGTCCTGAAAGTTTTTAATCCAACATTTTTCATTTTTTTTTTACAATATTTTATAATACAATTATATTAATATTTATGCAATTAGATTATATTTTCAAAATACTATTTATATACATGCATTTTTTTAAATAGCGATTTATTTTTATTTTATAAATTAAATAGTAATTAAAATATATTATATTCTCAAAATATTTTCCATTTTTATAAATTAAATATTAGTTTTATTTTTTTTAAATGCAATATAAAATATAGTATATTCTCAAAATATCATTATACTTCCATTTTTTAAAATATTAGTTTTATTTTTATAATTGCAATATAAAATATAGTATATCCATTTTTATAAATATCAGTTTTATAATTTTTTATAAATTCAATATAATATTCTCAAAATATTAGCTTTTTACCATGTTTTTTTTTAAATACAAATTAAAATTATCACAAATACAATCTTTTATATTCAAAAATATTATTTGTACAAATTTTTTATAGTATCAATTTGTAATTAAATTTCTGAATAAAATATGTAATATACTTATTAAATGATAATACTCGCTAAAAAATATGGTATTTTGTATATACTAGGTCGAATATAATTTTAAAAAATTCCGAGCCGGGCCTGGAAAATTTTTTTAAAAAAAATCTGGGCCGAGCCGTAAAAATTTTTTTTAAAAAATATCTGGGCCGAGCCGTAAAAATTTTTTTTAAAAAATATCCAGGCCGGGCCTTAAAAATTTTTTTAAAAAAATATCTGGGCCGGGCCGTAAAAACTTTTTTAAAAAAATATCCGGGCCGGACCGGGCTTAAATTTTTATAGCCAGACCGGGCCTAGTGCCTCTGCAGGTCTCGGATATATATATTTATGTTAAAAATATCACTTATTCTTTTATTTCGATGGAGAATATTGCAAATAAAGTTTTGGAGATATTAAAATAAAAAGAAAAAAAAAATCTTAATCTCTTATTTTTGTTCATTCACTAAAAACCTTTTTTTAAAAAATAGATGTTCTACAACAATAAATAAGTCAAATTTTTTTGATACTAATTTTGGGTTGGTTTCGCTGATGGTAATGGCAGATGCTGGCGTATCCATGCATCACATATAACTAATGATTCATTTAAATAACAAGTTAGATTGTATAAATTCTCGCCATCCTTTAAATTCATCCTCATATATAAAAGTCTTGTTGATAGAAGTATTAGATTCCTTTGGAATGGTTCATTTTTAATTTAGCAATCGTTATGGAAAGGAAGGGATACTTTTCTTATAACAAATTGAAAAGAGAAGGCTATAAGAAATCGGAGATGGCTTTCGCATATTCTGCAGTGGAAGACTAAATGGCTATACTAGGGTTGCAATTCCGTGTTGCCATGAGGTGAGAGAAATAATGTCAATGTTAAATAGCGAGTTATAGGAGGATGATACTAGTGGAGATGATTGCTGTCAATTTAATCTCCACATTTTGGTGGATATGCACCTAAACAGAAGATAGATTTGTTTTTTTAAGTAGCCTCCCAGAAAAAGCAAAATAAAATAGTGAAAGGGGCTTAAGTGGTTTGGGTGTTGATACAAAAAATGAATAAAAAAATTATGAAAGGTATTACATCATTGATTATTTCTTACATTCATTAAAAAAGATGAGCATTAGATTTACATGTAAGAGTGGTGAGGCGGGAGATATTTCGTAGTAATTGATCTTAATTAGGATTGTAAATGTTTGTGAAAAAGACGATCATGGATAATAAAAATGTATTATGGAGGATGCTACACGTTAGTGACTTAAGTGAGGCGAAAAATAATTTGTTAAGAAAAAGAGGAAAGTTCGGGGACACGCAACATTTTACGTTGGAAGATTTAGCGGTGCGCAATCGCAAACTTAGCGATTTTCTTAAAATATATTCATTTAGTCAACGATGGATTAGCGATCAATTTGAACGATATCGTTTGAAATGCAGTATTTGCCATTCAACGCAACCTCAAAAAACGCTTAATTTTGGAAGCGCTATTTAGATTTGGGGAAATATTTTATTTAAAATATAAAAAAAGTGAGAATTTTTTTTAAAAAAAGTAAGAATTTTTTTTATATCGATTTCCGGAAATTGATTTTTTTTTATTGCTAATTAATAATCTGTCATTCAAATACTTGATTAATTTGAACAATTATTTATTAATATTCAACTTAATCGAATAATTAATACCGATCTTATAGAAATAATATATTTTATAATTCGCAAGAAATAGTAAAACCCGTCTTGAGGAAAAAACGCACTTAACCCTTGGATAATCATGCCAGTTTTTATCAGCAAGGAAGCGGACAAAACTTTAAATTGGTTTAAATGAACCGAATACGAACAATTCACTGTTCGATTCATATTTATCTTTGTATATGCTTAATCCATAGTTGTTTAGTATTCAACTGGATTCAAATTATTTTGAACGATTCGACATTTGCCCTTTATTATTATTTATATTACTAAGCTAATGCGACAATTCCCGACTTCGTTTGAATTCAATTCCGATTTTATTCTGTCACTATTCCAACACGCCTATTCATCTCCATTCGGTAAACTTATGTAATTTTATTTATCCCCAAGTCTTTACAATACGAATATCTATAAAACATACTTTGTCCCTTTTTAGAAAAAATCTCGCTTTTTTATTATTTCATACCAGCGTTCTTCAAATGAACAATTATATATTTTTGACTATGTTTTTTTTGGGCGGTAAAATAATCAAAATGGGCAATATTTTTATTATCAACAAATTAATCTTTTGAGTTTTTAAATTTTTGGGCAGTAAATTTATCAAATGGTCAGTATTATTTTATCAAAACAATAAACAATTTGGGCATTATTTATATAATATTGAGCATTAAAAAAAATTAAGTTGAATTGTAACTAAAATTGTATTGTACAATATTTATTTAAATATCTTTTTATTATTAGTTATCAGTATATAATATGAAAATTAATATATCAAATATGAAAGTTAGTGAAATAAGTAAAATACCAAAAATGTTATGGAATTGCTATTTTTTATTTAAAATAATTTTTATATCGAAATCAAGAATATTTTATGGAAATTATCGTATATTTAATATATAAAAATTAGTAAATTTACAAATATAACAAAAAGCTACAATATCAAATCACACTTTATTATTGCATTGAATTGTGCAAATCTAAAAAATAGAAAATTCATTATAAATGTTTATTTTAAATAATAATTAAAACTTACATGTTATTGTACAACAGAGCCTTTAGACTTTTAAGGTCAACCCCTGCTTCATCTTTGCTCTCTTGGAGCGTCTTTGGCAGTGGAGAGGTTTTACACAGGGATCCAAACCTAACGAATATCGAGGTTCGGTTCGTAAAAAATAAAAATATGTTCTGTTCGAACCTCTAAAACCGGTTTACTTAATTCAAACCTACATTCGACTTATGTATAGGGAAGAATTTTTTTTTTTATTTCATCATTAAAATAAAGAACACATTCATAAAAGCTTCATTTTTATTAATTGCACATTATAAAATAATATTTAATTTATAAATATAACAAATAAATATCAATGATTAATTTTAATATGAACAATATTTAACTTTATTTACTTAAAATTATTTTATTAAGCCGTACAATTAATATATTTTCATTCGTCTCACTCAAATTACATCTATAAAGTGATAGTATAAATTTTATTGTTGAAAAACATCCTTCAACACTAACATGGATAGCCGACTCTGCCAGTATGATATCAGACAATTTATATAACTTCTTTTTTTAAAGAAGACTTTCTACTAAATCCTCTTCAGATGAAGATACATTAACCGGCGTTGATTCACCTTATCCTCAACTCTTATAACAAAGTTTAATTCCATGTTATGCTATATTTTAATAATATGCCATCTAGCCTTGGTTTTTTCTTCTTCAGTCCTTCTATATAATAGAAATTAAAAATAGCATTAAAAAATCTTATTATTTTTTATGAATGGATAGAAAAATATATAAAGTATAATAAAATTATTAATTATATAATATTTTTAAAACATATCTTAAATCTAGATATAGGCATGATAAAAAAGTATTGTTGTTGAAAAGTTGTTTCTCTCCGAAATTCTTAGCATCTATTGAGCCATCAAATGGTGAAGGAAAAAAGAAAATTTCTAATTTAGCTTTTAGCCATATGCCATAAAAATCCCTTAAAGTAAGCTGCTCAAGTTGTATCTTGGTAGCTACTTTAATTGGTTTTAGGATATATTTATCAACACTATAATTGCTTCCTATTCCGAAGCTATAAAATAATCACTTGTATGATACTGAATACTCCTCACACATATCTTTTAATTCATTCAATCTCTCTAGCATGTCATAGGTCATCTGTGACAATCCAATATAGGTATTTTTAAGTTTAATTTTTTTTAGTATGATTGATATCTATTTCGTCCTTCTTGCAGGCAGTACGAGCTTTAATAATAATATTAGAAACTGAGCATAATGCATGATTTATCACAAGTTCTAAGGTATGAGAAGCACATCTTATATTTATAATATTATATTGAGAATCATTAAGATTGATTGTTAATTCAACATATACATTTGTGAAATTAGTAGAAACATCATTAAAGTTATCTATATTCTGTATTTGTTCCTCTTCATCATTTTCAAACATTTGGTTGTGATAATCACTATCCTCCATTTTTTGTCATGCCTATATCTAGATTTAAGGTATATTTTAAAAATATTAGATTATATCTTATATAAATTTAATTAATAATTTTATTTTACTTTATATATTTTTCTATTTATTCATAAAAAATAATAAGATTTTTTTAATGATATATTTAATTTTTATTATATAGCAAGTGCTTCTGACTGAAGAAAAACAAAGGCTAGGGAGCATATTATTAAAATATGGTATAACATGGAATTGAACTTTGTTATAAGAGTGGAGGATTCTATTGAAGGTGAATCAACCTGTTAATGTATCTTCAGCTGAATAGGATTTAGTAGAAAGCCTTCTTAAAAAAAGATGGTAATCAAACAACATCTGCTACAAAATACAGATTATAGAAATATTTTAGTTGAATTTTCTAAATAACTTAGCTTAAATAAAAATATGAATATTTTAGACTATTGGGGGAAATCAGAGTAATTGATACCCATAATCATGTAAATTGTCTTATATCATACTGGCAGTGCTGGCTACTTAGTGTGGAAAGATGTTTTTCAACAATTAAATTTATACTCTTCACCTTATAGATGTAATTTGAGCGAGACTAATCTTGAAAATATATTGATTGTGCGGCTTAATATAAAATTTTTAAGTAAATAAAGTTTAATATTGTTAATATTAAAATTAATCATTGATATTTATTTGTTATATTTATAAATTAAATATTATTTTATAATGTGCAATTAATAAAAATGAAGCTTTTATGTATGTGTTTTTTATTATGAAGAAATAAAAAAAAATATTTTTTTAAAACGGGATAAAGGTAAACGTTCTCTAAGAGTATTTTCATCTTTAATTACCCGATTACTTGCTTCTAGTGCATTGTTTGATGCTAGGTGTAAAGTGTTTAAAATCTTCATACCATGTGTTGTTTAAATCTAGCCATTCCATTTCAAAATATTTAACAAAATCAGGAACTGCTGATTCCCATTAGCAAAAATAACTTGGTTTTGAGCTAATTGTAATTTATTAATATCATCATCTCAGCTTGATGTAATTTTGGTACTAGGGAAAAATTAAAACTCCAAATAAAAAAAATTGGAAAATTATTTATAAACTGCCCAAAAATTTAAAATATCTATCAAATGTGTTTTATACTGCCCATTTTTTAATTAAAAATACCCGAATAATTTGTTCTGTATATTTTTAAAAAAAAACTGATTTAACTTCGTCACAGCTTCGCCAAGCTTATTCTGTATCCTTGTTCAACGTATTATTTGGACGTTAAAATTAGTGAACCTTTTTTTTGCTCGCTTATTTAAAATGGAGGATTTTGTACTTTTTGTTGTCACGGTCCATATTATATATAATTAACCTTATATTAGAGCAAGAAAGGGGAAATATATTTTTTTTAAAAGGCTTTTTGGGGGACTTTTATATAACATTTTAAGATATTTTATGTGAGTTACTTTACTACATCGCATAACAAAATTTAAGATTTAACTATAAATTTTTTTAAAGCAATCTTTACAGGCGCGTAACCAATGGGGGAGGGGGGGGGAAGGTAGAAATCCCCCCCCCCTATCGCAAATTTGACTATTTTCATAAATATCATTTTAAGCTAATAAAAATTTTACCCCCAGACCCCCCCCCCTCACCAATCATTATTTTACAAATATTTGAATATCAATTTTCCAACATATTATTCAAAAATATTAATAAAATGGAAAAATATTTAGTCAAAGAGATTGAAATCAAACGATAATTTATAAATAAGGCTGAGCATGAAAAAAAGTAATATGTCGTTAGCAGCGATATCATTATTGAATTCAATTGATCAATCAGAGTTTATCATTGCTGCTAATTGCATCAATAAATTATTTTTAGCTCACTACTTTGTAGAAATTTACAAAAATCAAATTTAGATTTGGTTTAGGTTATTGATTTGGCGGAAAATATTAATGAACAGGTAGATACAATAAGAATGAATGTAGATAAATATTTTCATAATATTTATCTAGACGTTGAATCGAAGGCTAAATTTTATGATATAATACTAATTAAACCTCGTCTAGCACCTAGGCCATTATTGAGATGAAAATAAATATTGGCTCAACTGAAGAATATTATAAAATATCTATTTTCATCCCATTCTTAGATACTTTTTTATCGCAAATAAAAGTACGGGGTTTAGATAAAAAACAAGTCTTTAGCAATCTTCAAGTTTTATTACCCAAAGATCCTTCTTCATTTTCTAAACTATTGGTAAAATTAAATATTAAGAAAAATTTTATTCCTATGGGATTGATACTGAAATAAATTTAATCAGTGAATTCGAATTGTGGTATAAATATTTATACGTTTAGCTATTTTACCTGAGCATGCTATTGATGCGCTCAATCGGTGTAAAGAAACCTTGGCTCAATTTCCTAATATTTCGAAGTTGTTTTATATTCTTGCATGTTTGCCTATTACAACATGTACGAATGAAAGGACTTTTTCCAACTTGAGAAGGTTGAAAACATATTTACGAAATATTGAATCTCGGCTAAATGGGTTAGCTCTGTTAAATATACACAGAGATTTTGTTCCAACGACAAACGAAATAATTAAAAATCTTGTATTTGATAAGAAGTTAAAAAAACTTGTTAATTTAATTATTTTCTAGTCAATATTTTAAACTACTATTAGTATTTTCAATAAAAAAATTATATTCTACTTATATTGTATGAGAATTCAAGCTAAGGCTAGTTTTTAAAGCAAATTTTATAAAAAAAATGACATTACACTTTATTTCATCTTTACATTTAAAAAAACCTTTACATTTAAAAAAACTTTATTAAATATAATATACCTAACTTGAAATAATAAAAAAGAGGCTTGTAATATCCTATCCATAAGCACGAATTAGTAAATAATAGTTAAAAATAGAATTATAATTATTATTGAATTATGAATAATTTAATAGAATAGCTAAATAAGACCCGGCCGAAGGCCGGGGGAAAGCTGGGCGAAGGCCAGGTAAAGGGGGTTTGGGGGCGAAGCCCCAAAAATTTCCCCCCCCCCCTATAAGAAAATCCTGGATACGCCACTGAATCTTTATATACTATCAAATGCCCGAAAGAAAATATGGTATTAATAATACTTTAAAGAAAAGGCTCTAATATTAATATCTCAAATTTCGCTGAGTATAAATTGCGCACTGCGCAATAAAAAACGAATACAGGGGTTGCTATCCGGTCAAACTCCGTAAATCAGTGAAAATAAAATATAAAATAATTTAAATCCAAAATAAATGAAAGTTATACAGATTTAAATTTGGGAAATGGTATTTTTTTATGTCTGATTTGGGCTAGGGGTTAGTTGTTACATGAAATAATTCGGGGCTAGATTAATATACCAGCCGCAATTCTCGTAATGGAAATGATTTTAAATCACATATGCGTGTTGTCTTATATTTAACTCACTTTCCACATTTTTTATTAATGCGTTTGTTTAAAATAGATACGTTTTCTTGGAATGATTGTAGGAAAAGAATAACGCGCATGCCTACTTCCAAGAATATCTCATATTGGTAAATGATTTATATTTTATGAAATGTCGTTAATTTTTTTTTATTTGGCAAATTACATAAGATTCTTAATATTAGCCTATATGTTTTAGATTAAATTATAAGGCTTTGGTGTAATTCGGGAAGGGTGCGAAAACACCAATGGTAAAGGAGAGAGCATAATATGTTAGCTTTGATATCATATCAATGAGTTAAATAATTTTATTAAATCTTAAAGCTTGTTTTTTTAGCGGTAAATAAAAAAAAGACGAAAAACCATTATAAAAAAGTGTGCTCATAAAACCAGTTTTGATCGCTTCACTAATTGGTTTCATAACAATATTAAATGTATGAGGAGTAGTGTTGTTAAACGGCTCATTTTGAGCCGATTTTTAAAAACGGCTAACTCAATATTGTAGATTGAAAAATATAGCCTAAGCCTTGAGATTTCGCCAATAGATGTCCAAACCTTTGTTCCTTCTACACACAAAATTTGAGTTAGATTATTCTGGATGAAATAGTGAGTTAGCCGTTTTTAAAAATCGGCTCAAAACGAGCCGTTTAACAACACTAATGAGGAGTTAATGACATTTCATTTTTAAATTGGGCGGTTTTATCAAATTTACAAAATCCTGAGACTGCTGTAAATCAAACTTATGATTATAATCTTAAAAAAGTGACCACATTAGCGGATTGTTATCACCCTTGTAATTATTGTTATGTTTGACCAGAACCCGATAGGTTATAAATAAATAACTTGGATGATAATTTCCATATTTGGAAACTTTAATACACTAAATTAATTGTGATTTGTGTAACATTTTTTTTTTTAAAAAAAAAATTATTTTTGTTAAATCAGGCATTACGTCAATATGAACGATGTTAAAATCGGTTTTATGAATATATTTTACGAGTCTCATTTACAAAAAACGCGATGGGATTCTCTAAATTTTGCCGACGGCTCATTAGATCTCAGTACTAATCCTCAAAATATTGTAAGACTTTAAGCTTATTATTTTTTAAAAAAATATATTCTAACGAAAATATTATATATACCTTATAACTTTGTGTAGTTGGTTTTAAAATATTAGATTTTTTACTTTTATCCTTCATCTTATATCCAGTAAGTTAGTGGTTGTTGTTAAACGACTCGATTTTTAAAAATGGCTAACCCAATATTTTAACCAAAAAATGTTACGTTAACCTGAATTTTACTCGTGGGTGGGCAGAAAGGTATGGACATCTATTAATGAAATCTCGATGCTTGCGTAATAATATTTTGGCGAAATCTTAATTTAAAATCAGTTAATTCGAGACGTTTAACAACATTTCCAGTAGCCTTCTTTTGAAGCTTTAAATTTCATATAAGGATTAGTCATTTTGTTTATCAGAATTAATAGAATTTTACTGTAAAAAACATAGGATTTATAAGAAACTCTGAAATTTTATTTTCTTATATTTCACGTACAAATTTTAAATAATAAAGCAATTATCTTCGGAATTATTTTCTCTGTGGACCATGTATGACTATCCCAATGAAACATATCTCGATTTAGATATGCCCACTCCGCCATTTACGAAATACGCTTTAACGGAAAATTTATATCGAAATATGTCGCAAGAAATATCCATGTTGGAAGCTAAAATAAAATTAATCAAAAAATGTTTATGATTTTTTTTATAAAATGATTATATTTTATATTATTTATTAAATATTATTATATAAATTATTAACATTAATTATATTTATTATTGAATATAAAAAATAAAGAAATTTATTTGTAATAATAATATTCTTTTCTCATTATTTTACATAAATATTTTCAAAATATAATAATGGACTTTTAAAATTAAATGATTTCCATTTATACATATTTAAGATTAATCATTAATTTTAGTGGAGAAGGGGAAATCATCTATGTCTTAATAGGAGGAGGTAGAAACGGCTATATTATGAATTCTGAGACACCGGTAGTGATAGCTAGGCACTTTGAGTGCTCAGAACTCCTTATTTAATTTTTTTAAAACAAACAAATAATATGTAAAATTTATAATGATTACACGATGCGATGTACCTATTATTTGCTTGCTTTTGATAGATATTTAGCGATACTTGCTTAATAAGGCCTATTACATTTCCTGTTGCATGATAGATAATTTGATAATAATTTAAAGTCCCTTTTCATCTCCATTTCTAAAATTCGGCCAAATAAGGTCCAATTTTAGTGATTCTCCAATCTAAAAATTTTTTATTTAAAATAGTCATCTTCTGGTGACGGCCATGAATCTTTAGATAGTTTAAAATATACCCTAATATTTCAAAGTGGTTTTATGTTTAAACAAAAGTGCCCAAGATTGTTGTTTTATGGCTCTTTTGGCTAATTAGTTTGATTGAAACCACAGGTATAAATATATTGTCGACTAGATGTGAACATTTTAGGAATTTATTTTTCCGCTATACCTAGTGGGTGGTAATTATTATTTGATGTGAACAAAATGCTTATACACGTGAAATCTCATTACATGTGTTTCCCTATACCAAGGATTACCCAACAGGCCGCGAATTATTAATAACAGAAATATCCCATGGTTAAAGTTGTGAAGGAACATTTGCTATGAATAATGAATCGTGTATTATTTTATTTGCCATACATATTTATATTTATTCACGAGACAATGGAGTGGACATCTAGCTTTAGAAAATCAACCATTGTCCCACATCTTCACAGTTGTAGATTTTAGATGTGTCTAAGTCAAGCCTGGTAACCAAAGTATATCTAAATTCCTTATTTGTCAAGATCTTTATTTACATTGTATACGCTTAACCATTCGTGACCTGATTTATCCATTACCAATGAACGAATACCTGTGCTCTGATTTGTGTCATTGCTCTACAGTAGATGATAGACGGAGACACGATTACAGTATACGAATTCTTGTGTAAATTAGTACATGGATAAATGGCGCCAAAGGACATGCTAGCAGACCAGCTTAACAAAACATTGTTTAACATGATTCTAATTAATTTAAGAATTCCATTTTGTTTTTTAATAATGGTGAAATAAAAGGATCTTAGGAAATGGGTAATGGTGATCGTAAGCCTAGTTCCGTCAGATTTTGATGGTAGAGTAGTTTACAACCAACCATTTTGGTATATTCTCCAATATCGATTTAAATTTTTGTTCATATTCTAGAAGTATAGATGGAAATAAATAGGCGACTGCTGAAGCAGAATTGTATATTGGGAATGTTAAATTTTTTTTAATTTAACAAAATGTCTGACGGGAAAATAAATACTTGAGAATATAATCTTTTGAATTAATCATATTGTTTTCCAAAAATGTATGGATACCTGAAGATCTTATTAGAACTGTGATTTTTTCTTTAATCAGTGATTAAAATCAATAATTGGGAAAGAAAATTTTTTAGTCGAGTAAATTTCACATTTTTTATAATTTAAGGACAAATTTAGCAATTTAAAATGATGATATCTACAACTTTATTATTTAACTGATAGGACCGATAATGTGCCATCATCCAAATACCAAACATTGAGATCGAGATTATGGTTTATATATTTCGAATGATGTTGTTTATAGAAAAGCCGATTAAAGGCGGACCAAGTGGATCTCCTTGTATTCCTTGTGCTGAAATAATAATTTGATTTCCATATTTTAATGTAGTAAAGGTACAGTAGCTTGACTGGATATAGTTAAAATAATATAGGAAAACCTCGAAGACTCTTTGAAAAGATAGGAATTAAAGGATTAGGTAAACCTATATTACCTATCATGTTGCAGAGGTCAGCCTACCCTGCAATCGGATTAGAGAGCAAGAATTTTCGATATATATAAGCTGAGCTAGAGCGGCGTGATTACAGCCAATCTTCCTGCAGAGTTTAATAATAATGAATAAATTACTTCGGAACTTCGTCTAAAGTTAATTTGATCAATAATGTCTTTAATAAAGAGAAAGGATTGTTATTAACATTAGCTGGATGTTTGGAAAGCAGTTCATTAAAAATTTGGCCTGTGTCAGGTGAAATTTGTTTTAAAAAACATTTTAAAGCACTTTTGCCTATGAAATTATTAATTTTTTTTAAATATAATTTTAGATAAAGATTCTTCTGAAAATTGTTTTTTACTATTTATAATAAATTATTTATTACCCACATTAAAAAACATAGGCGTATCCAGGATTTTATTATTGGAGGAGGGGGCACATTTAGGGCGTATATTTTATTGCAGATCTTTAGGTAAAAATTTTGGGGTTTCACCTTTATTTTTTTATAAAAATGTTTCATTCTAAAAATTTTGAATTATAAGTCGTTATTTTAAAAGGATTTTATTTGCGAATTTTTCTTCATAGGATATTTTTGTGTGGGGTTTGTAGGGGTAAAATCTTTATTAGCTTAAAAGGATACACGGGAATAGACAAATTTACGATTGGGAATGGGGGGTTCAGATACACGCCAGCTAATAAATTCCTTATATTTTACTTAAAAATAGATAAGCAACGTATTCCTATTGTGTATTAATAAATTATCATTTATAATAAAATATTAACTATACAATATTACCGTCATTGTAGGGGGGGCACGGGTGCTCGAGCCCCCTGAATAGCCCATTGAAGCAAAAAAATTTTTTTTAATGGCTCCCTAAAATCCCCTTGAATTAAAATAAATTTTGACAGCCCCCTGAATGATTTAATTTATAATTCTATTAAGTATTATATATAATTTTTTAATTTTATCATTTAAAAATTAATAAGATTATCTAAATTTTTATTAAAAAAATGCTATTTTAATAATAAATTAGATCATATTAATACATATAAATTAAATTTCCTCTATGCCATTTACAATCATATTCTGAAACACTTGAATTTTAATCAATTTTTATTTAAATTAATTATTAAATAATCCACCCTTAATTAAATAAATATAATCATTTATTGATTGAAAATTAACAAATTTAATATTGTAATTTACAGGGTTCAAAATCACTAATTAACTATACTATTTAACTCCCATTTCTATGACTAAAAATGTGGAATACTATATGTCATAAATGATTAAAACACAGAGCATAATATATTCTTCAATTTACTTTTAATATATATTTGTAAATTCATTTATGAGTGAAATTATATTAAGAATATCATATATTTATATAAAACTTAATGAATAATATAAAAATGGAATAGAATAAAATGTGTGATTGTATTGAATAAGTTACGGAGGAATTCACAATATGAAATTATAGTCTTGAATATTAAAATTGGAACGATTATGGTAATTTACAATATATTTTTATATATTAAAAAAGAAAAACAAGTATCCATCATAAAAGAAAAAAAACAAGTAATCACAAAATGAAAATATATATTAATTTATATATATATTTTGTTGCCTTATACAAATAAATTTTACTGGACTTTAAATATAAATTATTTAAGTATTTAAATATATAATAGTTTAACTGAACTTTAAATATAAATTATTTAAATATTTAAATATTTAAATATATAATAGCGCATATGCAACAAAACTATATCGCAATTTTAAAATAATACTTTGAACGTTAAAAGTAAAACATATATACATAATTTAAAAATATATATTAAAAATATCATGTAAACTATTTGTAAATTAAAATCTATATAAAAAAAACTGTATAATAAAAAAAATAATTAGTGTAGTAAATTGTATGTTGGGTGGGAGGAGGTGAAGAAATAGAGCCGTGGATGGCAATATTATATTTTCCCGCACTTTAATAAACTAATCATAGAATGGACAAAAATTATTCGATCAATTGTCTAACTTTCATAGGCACTGAAATTATCTATATAAATCAACTCCAAATATTGGGCGCCATCGATCTCTCTTTCTTAACATTTAAATTTTTCTCTTTCTTGCTTCTTGGCAATGTCTTATACAACTTGTTATTAATATTATGTATTTATATATTTTAGAGCTTAATATAATTTTTAATTTGGTTATTGTGAAGTTATTAGGTTATCCCGCCCTGAATTTTTCCCCCCTTATTATTGTAATCATTTCCTTTTCCATAGTCTTCTATTAAATAAAAATTTTGTAAAGGTTTACTTTATTTTTTATACGCTTAGCTGTATTTTATTTTCCCTTCAATTTTTTAAATCCTTTCTATTATAATGTCCATGTCAACTCGTTTTCCAAATGTGCACAGAGATATGGAGGTAATTTTTTTTTTTTTTTTCCTATACAGTTTTAAATTTTATTTGTTTTTCTGTATTAAACCATCTTTATCTTTATCTTTTTCACTTTTTATTTTTTTTTTCTCTTTTTCTCTCTAAGTTTTTTAGGTGACCTCATCTTCCAACATTTTGGTCTTTTTATATTAAATCTCGGATCCCAGTAAACACTCCGGATAAAAGGTTATTATCTCGCTTATTTATTTTTCTCTCCATAATTTTTTCTTTTTGTCACTTTCACCCAAATTTATTTTATAAAAGATTTAATTTTCTTAAGATATATAGGTAAACGGAGTGCATTGCCCTCCCCTTTTACAATATCGTCAATTATCTTTTGAACACATTTTTCTAAAAATATGGTTATTAATGATAGAAACATTGTCAGAAGATGCTAGGAAAACAATTATAGTTAGCAATTTTAAATATCTTGACGTGAAAAATTATATTTAAACAAATATTAATTTCCTTTGATCTCTGAAAGTAACACTATTATATTTTCCTTCCTGATTTTTAATTTTTCTAATATCTCTCCGGAACTCCTATTTTATTCTTTATTATCCTACACTCTCCGAATAAAAAGATAAAATATTAATAAAAAAATAAATAAATAAATTAGAAAAATTAATTACAATCAACATGATAGGGAGAAGGAAAAGTAAAACTCACAAAAAACTCTTTCGCCTACAAAAAATATATATATCTCAATACATTACTTAAAAAAGCAGACATATTTCTCAATTAAATCATTACCGTATAATTTTTGTTCTAATAACCCGTGCACATTCTTAATTCTTATAAGGCGAACTCTGTAAGTTAAAGGTAACTATATCAATGATAATTAACTTATATAATTTCTTAAGTTTATGGACCTTAAATATATAGAAATTGTTAATATAAATCTACGTATTGTGTACCACTTAGGTTAAGGATAAATTTTACACTTGTACAAATTTTTAAGCAGATTGACTCTAACAATGTTACGCCATATTATATAACATTTATACTATTCGAATAAGATTGAGTATCTTAAATCCCATGGCGTGGATAAACTTTATAACTTAACCATAATTTACAATTATACTTCTATATTGATCATAATTTCTTATACTCATTTCCCTCCTTCCTGGTGTAGAATCGCACGATAATCATAGAAATGTTTTTTTATATACAATGAAAGACCATAGTATTAGGATGATTTCCTTAAATATAAGATCGCTAAGTGACAAACTCACAATTCTTAGGCAAACTATAAACGATCAACGATACGACATCCTCCTTCTACAAGAAACTCACTTGAAAGAAACGGAGGTAAGAAATCTCTTAGAATACACCTTATACTGCAGCTCGAATGCTGAACATGTTTGGGCAGGTGTAGCAATCTTAATCCATAACAAACTAATTAAATATGTAAGCTTTAATCCAATTTCCAGTCGCATTTGCTGTCTTACCTTAAATATTGGTTACTAGATAATTCACCTGTTCAATATTTATTCACCACATAATAATAAAGTTTTTTACATAGAGCTGGAAAATATCTTAAAAGAACTACCTCATCGAGATAGTATCATATTAGCTGGCGATTTCAATGCCTCGGTTGGGAAGCCTAACAATTCTACCTGCCTCGGGAACGCCACTCTAGTACAAAGTACGAACACTAATGGCAAAAAACTAATAGAAATTGTGAACACTTCCATTTGAAAATAGGAAATACCTTCTTCAATCATCCTAACCATCACACCATGACCTACAAAAGCCCATCTTTTGGCACTACCTCACAAATTGATTTCTTTGTAATTTCCAACAATATATTTAAGTGGGTGAAGGACATAAGTCATCAGCAAACTGAACTTCACCTTATTTACGGACCATTACCCACTAGGATGCGAGCTAAGGATAAAAAATACCATTTTTCCAAACCGAAATCAACATAGCCACCTTAACTCTACACACTTCATAATGAGGAAAGACTTGGCACAGCTGAATGATCCGGTTATAAAGGAAGAGTTCATCACCAATCTAACAACATGGAGAAACACCCAAAATGGCATGATCAATCCTAATATAACTTGGAAGGATATGAAACTAAGTTTATCAAGCTGTATGAATTCATGCTTAAGACCACGAATTAAGCGTAAAGAATGGCTATCCCCTTCAACAATACAGATAATTAAAAACTTAACAACAAATATCTCCTATAACCAATATACTAAACACCACAGAAGGTACATAACTCACTGCATAAGAACAGATAAAAGATATTTTATTGCCAACTTATCTAGATCCATACAATATAGCTTTGACAACAATAATATTTACAAGACTTTCCAATCTCTTAAGTTACTCACTACCTTTAAATCCAATCCTCTACCAAGATTACACATTGAAAATAATAAAATTATAACGGACCCCAGGGAACAATTAGCGATATGGACAGACCATTACATGAACCTTTACAGAACAAGGTGGCCTAAACCATTATGTGACTATCTTTTCCAACCACCTAATCGGAACCTGAACAGAATAGATATAATCAATGCCATTAAAAGACTAAAAACCCATAAAGCAGCCGGAATCGATGGGATTTTTGCGGAACTTTGGAAGATAGATGCTGATTTAAGTGCTAGTCTACTGCTTCCCCTCTTTAATGAGATATGGAATACTGGCAATTTCCCAGAGGAATGGATGACATCGATAATACTTAATTTCCCTAAAAATAAGAACCCGACTAGCCTGAAGGACTACAGAGGAATTGCACTGATCCCAGTTACCCTAAAAATGTTCACGTATATTATAGCCGCCAGGATTAAACCAATCATCGATGGAAACCTCTCAAACGCCATCACATCATATAGGAAGGGCAGGAACACGACGGAACTAACCATGGCGCTTAAGGTTATTTTGGAGAAAGCTAGAATGCATAAGTCCCCAATATTTGCCCTAATGATTGATCTAAGTCAAGCCTTTGACTCCATCATACAGCATAAGATCTGGCCCTTACTGGAGGACATAGGAATAGATAAACATCTGATTTCGCTTATAAAAATAATATACGATAATCATAACGTGATACCACAACATCTGAACTTAAAATCACAACCATTTAAGGCCAACAGAGGACTGAAACAAGGATGCATTTTATCACCTATGCTATTTAATGTAATAATGAACGATATTCTGAATAAATCCTTCAAACAAGAACATGCTCTTAACCCTCGATATCTGAATCAACAATATGATAATAACATACACAACTCTCTAAATTTTCTATGCTATGCCGATGATGTATGCATATTAGCTAACTCTGAGTACAAATTAAGAAACTTGCTGTCATTGTTTGTCAAAAATTGCTTTGGATACGGACTGAAAGTCAACTACTCAAAGACAAAGTTAATTGTATCCAATATCCCTCTATATAACAGCGACCCCTTTAACTTTGAGGATAATGTGGTGGATACGGTCTCGGATTTTAAGTACCTAGGAACCAGAATAATGTCATTAGGCACCACCATTTTGGATACTAAGTCGAGGACCAACAAGGCCAGATCCCGATATCATCAGCTAACTAAATTATGGTCGTCCAACCAGATATCTACGAACCTAAAAATAAGACTCTTTAAATCCCTAAATCTACCCATCTTAAAATACGGGTTGGAAACATGGCAGGACACTAAAAGCAACATCAACACATCCCAGACCTTCATAAACAAGTGCTTAAGAAGAATCACTAAGACTTACTATCCATACAACACACCAAACACAACTCTCTGGAACAGGTGCGACATCCTACCTATCAAAAGACTCATTCCTTTGAGGAGATTAGAATTACTCGGCCACTGCTTAAGACATTCACGAGATAATATGATATTTTCGTCCATGGAGTGGACCCCGAATTATGGAAGGCGAAGAATCCCCAAATACTACTGGCTGGCAAAATGTCTGAAGGACATGGACTTGATCAATCTTACGTTTATAGATTTTCTTGCACTCAGCAAAAACAAGAAACATTTAAAGGAACATCTGCAATACATGCTTAAATATGGTTTAAACTAGAGCAGGAATATTGGACGTATCAGACTATTTCCACTGCCTTATTTCCAATCTCTTATCCCCAGTCTAATGACAACTTATGTTTTGGCGCAATAGGAATTATGATTTTTGACGAAGTCAATGATAATCTTTAAACCGTGAATATTGATAATGATAACGATCTCCAGGCTCAATATAATAATGATAATAGTGAATAACATGGATTCTATAGACATTGCGTTATCTTCCAAGGATATACTTACCAAACATTAAGAAATTTTTTTTCCCATCTCTTAAATCTAACCAGGTGTCAGGTACATTATTATTATTAATATTAGCTACAATACTTAACACTATTTTGCCGGTAACGGAACTAATAGATCCCCTCTTTCTTACTCCTCTCTTCTTTACTATGCTAGCTGACTACATAGTGGTACCGTCCACTATAATAAAACGGGTATACATCATGTATAGGATCTATATACTAGTGAATATACATGGTGCACGCTACAACTCCTGGTGGGTGATGAATTTCTGGTGTGGTAATGAATGAATGAATGAAATCAACTGTAATCCAAAATGATATGCCACTTTTCTTTACTAAACGCCTATTGGGTTTTTTTTACATTTATTATTATTTTATTACATATCATTTCTCTTCTCCCGGAGAATAAATATACAAATTATGTTATTACCAATTTTTATTATTATGGAAAAGCCCGCACTAATAAAAATTTAAAAAATTTATCTCTTCATCGATTATTGAGTTATCCTAAAAAGTATGAGAATTAAGTATATGTTCACATGTATGTAATAAATTTTTTACAGGTTGTTTTACACTTTCTACATACTAGCTGTATTCTGGTTTGCCTATTTATTTTACTTCTTAATTGCAGTTTATATGCTAAATAAACATCCCCCATACATAATGTCTATATTGAGATATAGTTGTGTCGAGTTTAACAAAAGATCAACAAATATAGATGAATTAAGTAAATTTACTTTATAATATTTTCTCTTTAAATATTATTTTTATTTATTACAGTTTTTCATAAATATAAGCATAAAATTTATATAATTTATCCTCTTAAATCTGTCACTTCTTTATAATATTAAATTATTATTTATCTAATATATGTTTATTATTATATTTAATACATATTAACCAAGGCAGATCCTTAAAAATTGATCTAGATATAGATATTTTATATAGGAAAATGTCTATGATAAAGATAAAAGTATCTTATTAAAAATTAAGGATAAAGATATTTGAATAACAAGAGTAATTATAATTCCTTCCACACAATAGATTATAAATCTGATGATAAAATCATAACCCTTCAACTTATTTTTACTCAAATTTAAAAATTATAGTAGTTATTTGAATTAATAGACTTGCTTTTGCTTTTTTTTATTATTTATAATTATAGCTTCAGAAATTAATAAAGCCTTTAGGGTGGATCCTGGTTTGACTTATTTCTAAACAGCCGACTGTTTAGCTGGCTATAAGCTTCATAAACAACTTAAAAGGGAAAAGAAAAAATACAAAAAATAACAATGCCACCAAACATTTAAAACAAATCAAAAAAGGCTTCTTAGTTTAAAATCTGTTTAGCATCTAAATAAAAATAAGTATAAAAAATAAATTGAATTAGGACATGGTCTTCAATCTTTTTCCTTTACCAGCTTGAAATCTATAATTTTTTTATTGAATAAAAGGATGGGAAATTATAGCCAAAGAGATAAAACTTTCTTTTGCAATTAAATTCAAAAAATTAATAATTGGAGTCCTAATTATTTCCCTTAAGAATTGGTGCACAGATGTGTAGGGACAAATTCTGAACTTACGACATGATACTTTGTTTGAAATAGAATAGGAGCTAATTCTCCATCATAACTCCCACCTAGAGGTCTGCATTAAGTGAGTTTTTGTACCAAAAGCCCCCATCCGATGTTTAAAAAATTTAACCTGCCCACCCAGTACGCCCATAGTTTTCAAAAAAATATATACCTGCCTGCCCATTAGTCTAAAATTTTTAACCCACCCGCCCATTATTTATAAAAAAATTTTAACCCAAGCCTGCTTATAAAATTTAATTATGGTCATTCTTTCATTTTTTTAAGCATCTAATAAAAATATTTCAGCATTACACCTCTACAAAAAGTTTATAATTTAGGAATTTAATATAAGTATAAAAATAATCAATGTAAATTATGGACAATTTATTTGATCAAATTGAATATTTATGAAAAAAATATAAATGTAAAATTAATATTATATGTAATTATAATGCAAAAATAATAATGAATCAACATTTTCTGGATTCAAACATGTTCTTTGTTCTAAAAATCTTCCAGCGATGCTAAATCCGCGTTTGGAAGAAGCACTAGTTGCAGGAATTGCCAATATTTTTCTTGCTAATTTTGATAGCTTTGGCAAATCTTTTTCTTGTCGTTTCCACCAAAGTAGGATATCCGTTTGAAGTATATCCTCTTCCTCAAGTGAGATCTTTAAATAAAAGTGAAACCAATAATAATAAATTTAAATTAATTTCTTTTAATTTATATAAATTATTTTTTATTTTTTTAGATATATTTTCTTTATTCATAATAAAATTTTAAATAAAAATTAAATTAAAATATATTTTATTAAATTATGTTATAAAAAATAAAATTTATATATTATATAATAAAATGAAAAGGGCAATTATAAAGATAAACAATTATTACTAAAATAAAATAATACAATGCAGATTGCAAACCCCAAAAAAGGAAATTTTAAGAGAAAAGTTTTATTACATTCCCATAAAAGGAAATTTTTAATAGACAAAAATGTTTATTTATTCTAAGAAAAAAGTTTTATTGTTGTGTTTATTATATAATATAGTTAGGTAAATGTTCTTCACTTAAAAAAACGATTGGTACAATAAAAAAAGAAATATTGTTATAGATCATTTAAACAATTATTTTTTTTAGTTTGTTTTTGAACAAAAATTTTAAATTTCCTTAACCCGCCCGCCCATAGTTTCAAATTTTTTAACCCGCCCACCCGCCTGCCCATTCTCGAAAATTTTTTTACCCGCCCAATGCAGACCTCTACCCCTTCCCCATAGCTTAACTAAAGCCATAGCTATAGAGGATTCAATTTTTATACCTCTACCCCCCTTCCCCCCTCATAGCTTAATTAAAGCCATAGCTATAAAAGATTCAATTTTTATAAAAAAATTATTTCGAAATATTTAATATTTCTTTATTATATAATTTTATTTACATTGCTTACTTATAAAATAAAAAATCAAGTATTGGTATTATTTTTTTGTAATTTATTACAATTACAAATTACTTTTTCACTTTATGTAATTGATAGCAATTATCAATTAAAAAAGTAATTATATTTATTCAAATTACATATTTCTATGACCGTAATAAAATATTTTAGAAATAATCTATGTAACTTTAGACTGTGATTAAAAACAAATATAGGTGTCATAAAAAGATATTATAGAGATAGGAACAACGACGTTATCAAAAAAATGAAAAAGATATAAGATTCTTTTAAAAATAATATTAAAAAATTCAAAAGGTATAAGATATAAAAGGATCTTTTATCTTGATTCGAGTATTAACAGAAGCCCAATTCTATCACCATTCCCTAAAATTAATCCTATCTTTTTATTTGTTTCTAGCATCATTGTTAAATGGTCATATTTAAGTCGATTTTTAAAAATGGCCCGATAAAGATTTTAGTCAAAATAATTCTGTAGATTTTGGGCTGAAAGGTTTTGACTTCTATTTTCCAAATCTAGAGGCCTACATAATATTATTTTAGCTAAAATCTAATCGGGCCGTTTTTAAAAATCGGGTCATATTACAACACCATTTGTTTCTCTCTATATAGATGGTTTTATTTTACTTAATTATAACAGAATTGCAAATTAAAATATATAATACGATTTATTGAAACATCACCTTTAAACTTATAAATTAAATTAAAAAATTTTTCTTTTACATATTTATTTAATTTCACATAAATATTTAAGACTTATTTTCTATTAATAAATCATAAACTTGCTACGACTACGACAAATAACTAATATAGTTCTTTTTAAATTGATCATAATAATATTTGAAACATACGAACTTCTTCAGTATGAACTTGGAAAACTTAGCTCGAAAAACGTTCCAATTTTGAATATTTTTTAAGAGAAGTGTTTTTGGCTCCTACAAATGTTAAAAAGAGATGGGAGGCTTCTAGTTCAACTTCTGAGGGTTTCAAACTATGTTATTTATAACAATAAAAATTTTTTAAAAGGAATCGCCCTACATTTTGAACAAATATATTTAAAATTATTTGTTAGAACTCTTTTCAGTTCCCTAGACATTTTAAAAATGGGTTTTGGTTTCTTGTGAAATCGTGATTACTAAATATGTTTCAGTTCCAGGCTGTACTTTAACACGCAATAATTTAATATTAATTAATATGTTTATATATATCCCCACCCACCCCTCCTTTAAATATATTCAATAGTTACGCGTATCTATTTAGTATGCTTTTTAATGATGTGCCACACTTCCCGCCGACTCTACGAATGCATATTCATTAGCATTTATTCCTCGGACGCTAAAACTTCTAAAATAAGTATTTCCCATTTAATCTTAGGTTATACGTACTATATCATGCTGGGCTTGTCTCTGATATCCGCAGCACCACAGATAGATAGGTGGAAAAAGTAAATATTATTTTTAAAGATTTTTTTTTAAAGTAGGGGGGGGGGATATCATCATTGGGGAGGGGTGTAATCTTCTTATTTTGTCAATTTTTTTGCCAAAAAAATTTAAACCTATATTTTTTTCGAAAATAAATATTTGTAAACATATGATTATCACAATATTGTAAGCAAAAAATTTTTATCGTTTTATTAACCCTTAGCTTACTAGAAAAAAAATATCATTAACCACACGGCTCCAATAGACTCTTTATACAGAATGATAAACCTTTTACTTTTTATTTCTCATTATTAACATATTTAAAATAATCAAAAAAAATTATAAGTTTTTAACAATATGGGCTGAATATAATTGAAATATTTTTGGTTTAGATTTACGCATTCAGTACCTATTTTCAATTCATTAGCATTTATTTTACATCTTTTGCTTTTTTTGCCTAATTTATTCAACCATCTGCATAGATATATATATATCCGATTAATGGCATTCAAAAGAACGATAGAAATGAGTACGCCTGAGCATTGCATTATCTAGCAGTAAATCAGTTTATAGTTGGATATTTACATATGATTGGTATGTCATTTTACAACTTTCTGAAAATGGGTTTGAATATCTTTTTTTAAATTTTGGATATCTAGAATTTGATTTGGTGTGATATACATGATGATTTTCTCACTCTTCCAGAGAAATCTGAACTTTCGAAGGATTGATACCTTTAATGGGTTGAATTGAAATGACATTCAGATTCGTTATCTTCCTGCAGAGAATATTCATAAGATTCTAATTAAATTTATTAGTGGTTGAGCGCATTGGATCTAGTCTATAACTTGAGTTATAAATTATAATTTAATTATACCTATTTCTATAAACGCATAATATTAAGAGGGGGATAATGGGCTACATTGAGCCATGAACTGATAAAAAATTTGAATGGGAAATTTTTAAACTTATATTCTGACAGATATAAATATTCTTAAAGGCATATCCGTAAAATCTAACACCCACGCTTTAGGTGGCAAAAATAAAACAGTTAAATAAGATTATATTCGTTCCGGTTGTTTCGGCCACTAAGCATTTTCCTCCCAGAGTAAGATAGGAAGAAAAATTATCCAACACACTTTTCGCAATTTATATGAAAAATTTATATAAATTAAGTAAACTTCAGAGGTTCTTCTGGGTAAAATACTCTAAAATTTACAATTTAGAGTGGATGCTTTATGTCTATATACACACGTTAGAATGCATTTCCTATCCAATCAATTTAAAAATTAAAAATCGCTCTCAATGAATGATTTAAAATTGAGATATTCTGAATCCCAATGGATTTCATATCCCAATCAATGATGTGTATATACTACTAGATTGGCCATTCATTTATTAAACGCCTTTAAAAATGCCCAATAGGAATTAGCTGTAGCTCCATTTTGTCATTTGTATGTCGATTTAAATAAGATTATGTGCATACATAGATAAATAAATACAGTTAGTCGAAGTGCAAATAAATAAATCGCCAATCCGATATATACATCATTGATCCCAATACGGCATATGTGTGAAATTATTGTTTTAAATACATTTTAAATAATATAATTTTATATAAAAAAAATTTCAGCTAATAAAATTTGCCTGAAAGTTTTTTTTATTAATAATTGGATATGACAAATGAGTCCATCGAACCCTATTGGTAAGCGAAGGTTTAAGTCTACCATTTAACATTTTTTGACAAGTTATTTATTTATCTATCTAATACCAAAAAATTATCGTTTAAAAGACCAATTTTTCGGATGAATTTCAATCATTTGATGGGATTTAACATACTATTCGGCGTTGGTCTATTCGTGTTAGCCAACATTTCTCAATTCAAGTGTCACACTATATTGGCTAATTTAAGAAAAGATAATAAAGGTAAATATTATATGAATGTATATTTTAAAAATTAATTTTTAGTCTTTAGATCAATTAATTCATATTTTTTTTTTTAAATGATCATCCTGTTGTGTTTGGAGTTGTTCTCTATGCCCATTTTGCTGTCATTTTGAAATAATTTTTAAATCAATGTTGTTGAATACTAATTATCTGATAATTACTTCCTTAAGTACCTACCTTTCAACTTTGGCTTTCAGTAATAATCCAGTGTTGAATTTCGAGGTTAGAGTATAATTTGTATAAATACAAAGTAAAATATAATAATACCTTTTAAGGATATCACTTCTAAGGATATGACTTTATTATTACCAAATATACATTATGTAAAAACAAATTCAAAATAAAAAAATTGAATGATCATTATTTATAAAAATTACGAGTTTATATAAAAAAATTAATATGCAAAAAACATTTTATATGCAAAATTACAATAGACCATAGTATTATCCGTACAATCAAGTTCGTTAAGAATAATGGGTTTTTATATTCAAAAAAAAAATTCTTTATGCAAAATTTAAAATAAACAATCATATTCTCCGTACATTCAAGTTCATTAAGGATAACTTTAATATTCATCTCTTATTTAAATATTCAAATCATATCATAAAAAAAACTATTTTTTTAAATAACTTTAACACCTTTGCACTTCGACTTGATTCTACCCCTCATAAACTGCTATTTTGTTTTCCCATCGGTTCTTCCTCTTGTACTGCTAACATTGTGCTAATCGTGGGACACCTACGTAAAATATGATCTCCCCCACAATACCAGCAAGACATTCTTCTTCGAGATCCCCAATCCCGTTCTCTTCTACGATTGTACGACCTGGCTGTGGGTCTATCTACCGTCATATCCCCATACCATCTGTGCTTCCTCTCTGGCGGCGTCTACCCATCTTCTCGATTCGGCTGATCCATCAACCATCCTAATTTCGATCTTCAAAATAAAATTGCCCACTCGCATGTACGACGACATCTATAACGGACTTAAGCTAAAAATATACTATATTTATCATTTATTTATCTCCTATAATTCAACTGCTTCCTAATTCTCAATACTCATAATCATTCTCGTATTACCTATGCCTCTCTCATTCTCTTTTACCTTATGTCAGATGTAATATCAAATTGTTTATACCTTCAGCCGATCTATTCTACTAATTGTGTACTTCATACGTCAACATTATGATTATTATAACTCTCGCAGACTTTAAAAAAAACAAATCAATTATGTCTACCAACATTTTCTACATTATGATTCTCATAATTCTTGTAGACTTGTTAAAAAACAAATCAATTATGTCTATCAGCATTCTCTATATTATGATTCTCATAATTCTCGCAGACTTGTTAAAAAACAAATCAATTATGTCTATCAGCTTTCTCATAATTCTCGCAGACTTGTTAAAAGGAACAAATCAATTATGTCTATCAGCATTCTCAACATTCTGATTCTCATAATTCTCGCAGACTTGTTAAAAAACAAATTAATTATGTCTATCAGCATTCTCAACATTCTGACTCTCATAATTCTCGCAGACTTGTTAAAAAACAAATCAATTATCTCTATCAGCATTCTCAACATCTCAGGAATTTAATCGATTCACAACGCCATTTATTACTAACCTAGACACCTAGGTCTTAATTGTTTAATATGCCTCGAAACTAATCCTATTCTTCCTTCAATTTCTACTTCTACCTTCTTTCTTCCTATATTCTTTTTCACTATACCTTTCCCCCATTTAACTGGGCCATCAAAAAGTAGTAACCAAACTAGGCTTCCGATCTTAAATCTGTCATTAACTATAACTTCTTTCTATTCTTTCTTTCAAAAAATCTAATTCAGTTCTAGTTTTTCTACCTAAAAATATCTCTGCTGGTGAGTATCTTTTGCTTCTCCTGGTATTGTTGTACGCTAATAGTAATACCCACCATTTTCCTTTTTAACCAACTCTTAACTAGAGCTACCATTCTCTCCGCTTGTCCATTACTTCTCGGGTAATGTGGTGGTGCTAATAAATGCTCAATCTTCCATCTATCACAAAATTTGTCAAAATCTCTGAAGAGAAGTAGAGATAAAATGAGAGACATAAAGATAGAGAGGAGAAATTTTGATATATATAAGTCGAAAGATGAAACGTTGGTAGACGTACGAAGGGTTGAATTAGAGGATTTTTTAATGATAGATGCCCGAGAATAAGGATAAAAATTGAGGAAGCTGAAATATGTTTTTATTAGATACAAGAGCAGAAATTAGTTATAAAGGATTTTAATAAATTTTGGCCAGGAAAAGAATTTGTTATAAAAAAAATAAGAGCCAAACAATTAGATGGCAGCGTAGTGAAAATTTTAGGTTATTACAGAACAAGATTACCTGGAATTAATAGAGGTATAACTTTATGGATAACTACTTTGAATATTGAGCCAATTTTAAGTTGGGAAGATATAAAAATATTAGATCCGGTCTTTATTGAAAATATCTTGAGAATGAATGATGAAAATAAGGAAACGATAGATAGTGATTTCGATAAACGTAAGTTGTCTAATATAGTAGATAAACAAGACGTAGTTCTCGATAAACTTAGAAATCGAACTCCAGAGTTTTTAATTGAATATAGAGACAAAGAGAATAAGAGTTCAAGAGATATAAAGTCTTTAGAGGTAACACCCGTTGAAATCAACAGACAGATAATTAAGAAGACAGTAGAACAAGAAGAGATTATCGAAAATAAATACAGCCATGAAATACAATACTTGGAGGTTTTTAAAGAAGAGTTAGGGACACTAAAAGATGTTGAAGTAAATATAAAATTATTAGAAAATTACCAGCCTAAATTTTGTGGAGTAAGGAGATTGCCTTTTTCTTGGTTAAAAGAAGTCAATAAGGAATTAAATAAATGGTTAGAGGAAGTCATAATACGACCGATAGTGCATAGCGAGTGGACGACACCGTTAGTCCCCATTAGAAAAGCAGATAATAGTTTAAGATTATGCATAGATTATAGAGTTTCGTTAAATCCATGGATTAGCACAGTTAGTTATCCATTACCGAGGATAGAACAATTATTAGCAAATCTAGAAGGAGCAACATTTTTTTGGAAGATTGATTTTTCTAACGCTTATTTACAGATTAAAGTGAACGAAAACATGAGTAAGATGTTGACAATTACGACGCATAGAGGATTATTTGCATTTTGTCGCTTACCATTTGGTTTGAAAGTTTCGGCTGCGATATTTCAGAGAACAATTATCTTTATTTCAAGGGTTAAAGGGAATTATGTATTATTTAGATGATGTTTTAATATCAGGTAGAACCGAAGAAGAACATAATGCTAGATTAGTTAAGGTGTTAGATATAATATTAGAGAATGGTTTAAAAGCTAATATGAAGAAAAGCGTTTTCGGAGCAAGAGAAATAAAGTACTTAGGACATATTATAAAGGGAAACGTAATTACTCCGATTGCCAAAAATATAGACAAGATAGTAAACATGAGAGCTCCAATTAATAAGTCTGAATTACAGTCATTTTTAGGGGCTACAAATTATTACCATCGTTTTATTCAAGATTTTGCGGAAATTGCTACACCATTATATAGTCTATTAAAGAAAAAAAAAGGTTCGAGTAAGGAACAGCTCAGGAAGAAAGTTTTAAAAAAATTAAAGATAAAGTTAGTAGAGAAACCTATGTTGATGTGCTTTAATGAGGAATTAGATATTGTTTTAGCAGTGGACGCATCTAATGAAGGTATAGGAGGAGCTTTATCACAAGTAGTTGATGATGTAGAAAGACCGATTTTATTTGTGTCAAGACAGTTTAATAAGGCTGAAAGAAATTATTCAACTATAGAAAGGGAAGCCTTAGCAGTCAGGTTTGGTTTAACCAAATGTAGAGAGTATTTGTTAGGCCGGAGATTTGTGTTATATACAGACCACAAACCGCTGGTAGGGCTTTTTAAAAGAGATAATAACGAGTTGATGATGTCTCCAAGGTTACAGAAATGGCTGATGTTGTTAGGGAATTTTGATTTCGAAATAAGATTCAGAGCGGGTAAACAAAATTGTTTACCAGATATATCATCGAGATTATGGGATAAGGACTTAGAAGACAAGGAAATAGAGCCAATAATAAATAGTTTAGAATATAGTGAAGAAGTGGAACTAAATAGTAATGTGATAAGAGCTTTAAAGAGAGACACAAGAGAAAGGCCGATAACTTTAGAGCTAGTAGACTAGATTTTTCAGCAAGAGAATTAATGAGAATTAGAGCCTATTTGAAGGGAGATAAAGAATGGGAAGATAGAGACCAGGCCTTTAAGAACAGTAGAGGTGAATTGAATATAGAAGACAATTGTTTAATGAGAGGATATCGTTTAGTGATACCAAGTAGGTTAAGGAAAGACATGTTAGCAGCCGTACATACAGGACATCAGGGCATAGAAAGAATGAAGAATAAGGCGAGGGAATACATTTGGTGGCCCAGAATGAATAATGAAATTGAAGAATTATCTAAGATTTGTGAAACATGTAATAAGTGTGCGTGCAAAAGTTAGGGGAGACAAATGACCAGAAACAGATGTACCCTGTGAAAGAATACACGTAGATTTTTTAGAATATGAAAGGAAGAAATATTTTATAATGGTAGATGCAGATTCGAAATGGATAGATTGTCAACAGGTATCTAGTCTGACGACGAAAGTAGCATTGAATAGGGTAAAAGACCGTAAGCAAATATGGATTAATGAAGACCTTAGTATCAGATGGTGGTCCAGCATTTATAGGCAGAGATTTTGACAAATTTTGTGATAGATGGAAGATTGAGCATTTATTAGCACCACCACATTACCCGAGAAGTAATGGACAAGCGGAGAGAATGGTAGCTCTAGTTAAGAGTTGGTTAAAAAAGGAAAAATATGGAGAAGGAAAATGGTGGTTATTACTATTAGCGTACAACAATACCAGGAGAAACAAAGGATACTCACCAGCAGAGATATTTTTAGGTAGAAAAGCTAGAACTGAATTAGATTTTCTGAAAGAAAGAATAGAACAGAAAGAAGTTATAATTAATGACAGATTTAAGATCGGAAGCCTAGTTTTGTTACTACTTTTTGATGGCCCAGTTAAATGGGGGAAAGGTATAGTGAAGAAAGAAGGTAGAAGTAGAAATTGAAGGATGAATAGGATTAGTTTCGAGGCATATTAAACAATTAAGACCTAGGTGTCTAGGTTAGTAATAAATGGCGTTGTGAATCGATTAAATTGCTGAGATGTTGAGAATGCTGATAGACATAATTGATTTGTTTTTTAACAAGTCTGCGAGAATTATGAGAGTCAGAATGTTGAGAATGCTGATAGACATAATTGATTTGTTTTTTAACAAGTCTGCGAGAATTATGAGAATCAGAATATTGAAAATGCTGATAGACATAATTGATTTGTTTTTTTAACAAGTCTGCGAGAGTTATAATAATCATAATGTTGACGTATGAAGTACACAATTAGTAGAATAGATCGGCTGTAGGTATGAACAATTTGATATTACATCTGACATAAGGTAAAAGAGAATGAGAGAGGCATAAGTAATACGAAAATGATTATGAGTATTGAGAATTAGGAAGCAGTTGAATTATAGGAGATAAATAAATGATAAATATAGTATATTTTTAGCTTAAGTCCGTTATAAATGCCGTCGTACGTGCGAGTGGGCAACTTTATTTTGAAGATCGAAATTAGGATGGTTGATGGATCAGCCGAATCGAGAAGATGGGTAGACGCCGCCAGAGAGGAGGCACAGATCAGGTATGGGGATATGACGGTAGATAGACCCACAGGCAGGTCGTACAATCGTAGAAGAGAACGGGATTGGGGATCTCGAAGAAGAATGTCTTGCTGGTATTGTGGGGGAGATCATATTTTACGGAAGTGTCCCACGATTAGCACAAACAATAACATGTTAGCAGTACAGGAGGAAGAACCGATGGGAGGACAAGGTAGCAGTTTATGAGGGGTAGAATCAAGTCGAAGTGCAAAGGTGTTAAAGTTATTTAAAAAAATAGTTTTTTTTATGATATGATTTGAATATTTAAATAAGAGATGAATATTAAAGTTATCCTTAATGAACTTGAATGTATGGAGAATATGATTGTTTATTTTAAATTTTGCATAAAGAATTTTTTTTTTGAATATAAAAACCCATTATTCTTAACGAACTTGAATGTACGGATAATACTATGGTTTATTGTAACTTTGCATATAAAATGTTTTTGCATATTAATTTTTTTTTATATAAACTCGTAATTTTTATAAATGATCATGATTCAATTTTTTTATTTTGAATTTGTTTTTACATAATTTATATTTGGTAATAATAAAGTCATATCCTTAGAAGTGATATCCTTAAAAGGTATTATTATATTTTACTTTGTTTTTATACAAATTATACTCCAACTTCGAAATCCAGTAATAAATTTTCTTAAAACGGTGTATTTGTTAAATTCAATATTATATTTAGGACTATAATAATTTTGAAAAATCAGTCGCGTAACCAAGTGGAGGGGGGGGGGGGAATTTCCATACATCCATATCAAACTTGCTTGTTCTCGTAAATATCATTTTAAGCTAACAAAATATTTCTCCTTCCCCCTCGCCCCCAAAATGTACAAAATATCAGTATAAAGCAGAATTTGAAGTAAAAAATTTTTTAAAATAACGACTATATTTCAAAATATAGAAATATTACATAGACAAAGGCCTATAAAATGTGGACCTAAAGACCAATCTTGTTAAACGGCCCGATAAAGATTTTTGCCAAAATATTATTATGTAAGCCTCGAGATTTGGCAAATAGAGGTCCAAACCTTTCTGCCATCTATAAGCATTTTGGCTAAGATCTTAATCGGGCCGTTTTTGAAAATTAACCCAAATGGGGTCATTTAACTAAACACAACCTAAGACCTCATAAAATTTTTGGTGGAAAACCTCGTTTTATAGTGTTTCTCCCACTATAGAAAAATCCTGGATATGCCTACGTGAAGAATGAACACGGTTTGAGTATATAAAATCGACAGGATGCTCCTTTCTATTCATTTGCTCATCTCGCTTTGGTTAGCGAATTCGGAGAGGTAGAGTCTTCTGTGTAGATTGGATCGCATAGAAGGTTTAAAGATAGCTCGATAAGGGATAGCATCGCCAACCCAGTTCCTGGACTGCTAATCAGTAGATTCTCTTCATTTTTTAATAAGTAAAGCTGCTTCCGGTTACAAATTTTTAATATACACAATTAATAAACCCTTTAAAATGAATGGCACAATTTTTAAACACTTTTGTTAAAATCGGTTCCTGCAAAGTTTAAAATGGATTCTAATTTTCTATTAACTTTGAACTCTCGTTTTTGCCAGACTTATAAGAGACCAAATTTCTTAGTTATTTGTGTTATAGTATGTACAATTTTAAGTGAAGGTAATTTAGAGTTCCCTTAACTTACGCCAGATAATCAACATCATGACTACGACATGGACAATATAGGAGATAGAACGGAGTATCCATTCGATTTTGTAATTAACATATTCAAGTGTTAATTGTTATATAATTTTATTCAAAATTATAATAGTTTATACTGTGAAAAGTTTTGATGAACCAAAGCGCAACCCGCAGAGTATTTAAGCCAAATGGACCACGCCAGAATCTTTAAAAAAATTATATAAAAGGTTTTTTAAAAAAATACATTTTTCGGATTTGCGCCAGAAATTATACTCTATTTTTACTCTTTATACGAAAAAGGTAGATATGATATAATGGGTATTTATACTTACAAGTGTCGACTCCTATAATTTGGTTAGGATTTGATAGGATTCACGCTGACACAATAGAATAAGTGATCATAACAATAAAATATGCATGAATAGAATCAATTGCGTAATTTAGGAAATCAGAGAAAAAACAAATCAGAATCCCACCATCAAGGCCAATGTTAGTTTACCATTATAAATATCAGGGACCCAGAGTGAACCGTAACGAACCGTTAAACCATTATAAACCGTTATAAATATATGAACCGTAACCGAACCGATAGAATTATTTTTTGAAGGAAAAGAACCTTTATAAAAAACGGTTAAACCGGTTCAGTTTTTATATTTTAGAAAGGGAAATTATCGGAATATCCAGAATTATAAACTTGCTCTTATAGTACTGGCGGTTCCCGCAACGCAAGTTTCTGTAGATAGGGCTTTTTCGGAGCTAAAATTTGTGTTATCGTCACAACGAACAAAAAGGAATCCATTTATATTAGAAAATATATTACTTATACGTTCAAATAATGAGTTATTTTGAATCTTATATATATTTTTTATATATAATTCATAGATGCTTATAATAAAAATAAATTAAAAGATGGTGTTGCTTCAATAAAAATAAATTAAAAGATGGTGTTGCTTCAATAAAAAAAAATTCTAACCGTAATGAACCTTTATAATTAGCTGAATCGAACCTAACCTTTATAAATTTCTTCTTAAGAACCGTAACCATTATAATTTTCTACATACTGAACCGTAACCAAACTGAACCGTTATAAATAACGGTTCGGGTCCCTGTTGAATAATGACTTAAAATACTCGTATAAATAAGCAAATTATATATATATATAAATATATTAATTATTATTTTTTTTAGATAAAATAATTAATCGGAACTCATATTTTATACCACGCGGCTTCTTATTCGAATACGTTACTTGCCCTCATTACTTTTGCGAAATTCTGATATACATCTCAACTTGTCTAATTTTGGTAGGAAATTATGGTTACGAAAATTATTCGACTTTCCTGACCTGGTATTTAGCTAGCTTTTTCGTTGTAACCAATCAAATTTGTGCAGCAATTATGCAACATGATTGGTCGATCAAAAAATTTGGCGCGGCTTATCCAACCAATCGTAAAGCAATAATTCCCTTCGTCATTTGATTGAGAAATAATAAACTTTAATAAAATTTTTTTGCTATTGTATATTTATTATTGTTATATTTTTTATAATTATAATAATTAAGGTTAGGGCTGCACCGATATTAGATCGGTGTCAATATTTAAATTTTGAACATATGAAATCAGTCGATATTTTCATAAAACTGATCCGATTTTTAAATAATAGAATCGGTCGATATTTTTATAAAATCGATCCTTTTTAAATAGGTTTCTCTTAAACATTAATTTATATTGTAACTTCGGTTTTCATAGTGTTTTAATAATATATTATAAATATCGTACGCTGGTAAACGGTGTTCTTTTTAATATTTTAGAAGAACCTTGAATCGAGCCTATTTTTCAGGTCTATTCCGAATTCCATACAAGTTGCAAAAGATTTATTTACAAAAGATTTGTTTTAAAAAAATTTGTCATTTTTAGGTAAGAGTTGGTCAAAAAAAATTGGCTTCTTTAGAAAAATGCATAGATTTTTGTTCTCAAACTCTGCTATAGAATGATAGTATACTAATACTTTCCAAGTTTTAATAAATTTTCTATTTTTACCTTAAATATTGTCAAATAATTTCAAATATAAACATCTTTTGTCCATTATTTGGGGATTTTAATAAAGACCTTTTTCAAAATGTAAAAATTATTTATCAATGCAAATATCGGATCGGTCTTATGTCAATTTAAGTTCTCATCGGCATCGTTGAAAAAAAAATAGTTGATCAATGCAACCCTAATTAATAATATATTGTCATAATATTTTAATTTTTACTTTATTTACATTTACCTTTTATTGTAAGAAAAAAATGTGATTTTATTAGTTCTAGTGATTATAATCGTGGATTTTTAGTAATTTTTATTTGTGAATAATATAGATATGATAATTATTATTCTGATATATATCAGTAACGAAGCGTCAAGTTTACTTTAAACCATGTCTGCCCTTGACAGTAACCTGTAAGGTAGAATTCAGGCAATTATGAGGTTGGACCATGTCGCAATCTAGTCTATGACCTAGTGTAACTCTTAGTTGTTCATTAGTTAAGAGATTCCCTAAGTTTTTACTACAAATTTCAAACCACTCCCACTAATTTATCATTATTTTGAAAGTGTTGGATGTCTTAAAGGGAAAAGAGGTGGATAAAATATAGGATTTTGGAATTAAGGGTAAAAAAATATTTTTATTTATTAGGAAAAAATGTATCCGTTAAAATATTATTCTGCCACGTTGGAAGGTCGTAAGCTATCATTTAGTAAGATCATGCTGTAAGCCAATATTCATGTGCCCCCCCCCCACTCAATAATTTTATATCTTAATTGTATATTTGAATAAAGATTCTTAGTTTCAAACATTAAATAAAACTAAGGAAGCAATTCTTTTTTATTAGCGAAACTATAAAATATTAATCCATTAGTAACAGAATTCGTCTTTGTTTTTGAGTAAAATAATCAAATTCTGAATTATAAAAATTATTGTTTTAGGTTTTAATTTTTTAACAATTTTTCAATCTAATTCAATGATAGATTCGATTTACGATTTTGATTCATCCTGTGTCTACAAAAGTTTCTATGCCTTAAAAATGAAAATTCATGATCTGCACCTACCGTTATTGGGGCCAATTAGGATGAATTTGCATAATTTGGAAACTTTTCATCAATTCGTTTTATATTAAAAATTCCAGGATTTTATTGATATTGTAATTCGTTTAGTAGTCATGTGTAAATTAAAAGGTTGAGAATAGATTTCATTCAAATTACCAATAGATATTGGGAAATATTTGAAATTCGCTACCCAGTTCTTAAATTTTTTGTAACTATCGATAAAAAAAAATTAAGAGTGCATTAATTTTTATCATAAAATTTCTTGGTATAAAGGACATTTTTTTAAAAATTTAATATGAAAATATAGAAAAGTAAGATTTTCATCGGATTATAAATTCTTTGAATAAATTACATATTTTCTAAGCATAAAAATATTTTTATATGGTCTTTTTGGTTGGGAATTTTGATGGCAGTTCAAATTTTTTACCAGGCCCAAATCACCTCTAATAAAAAAAACTCTTGACTGATTTCAAAACAGTATTTAACACTTTTTTATATTTTCTTTGTAGAGTTTTAAAAAAAAGTAATGGCAGTGTCAATTTCATACTATTTCCAAAGATCTTAAAACTTTTTTATTATATCAAAACTGTGCTTAGAATATAGCACCTGGCATTTTATATTTTCCTTGTTTAAAAAAAATATTAGTAGTGTTAATTTCTTAGCTGATAATAAATATAACATAGTGCAATATCAAACAAACCAAAATTTGATACGATAGAGATAACAAATGTTCATTTTTCTTATTGAAACGAATCAAAAATCGAATTACTCATCGTTTTTACAACTAAAATAGAAAACATTTATTTTTAAAAAATATCTTTTTATGAAAACACAAAATGATGAAATATATAAGGTAAAATAAAAATTTCTAGTATTTTGAGCAATCTTAAGGAAGAAAATATGAACCCATTTAATGGATAAATGAATACCAATGTTGATTTTTTTTTTTGAATTCACATCAAATTTGCAATTTAATGCCAGGCCTAGTCTAGTGAACTGTAATTCGGTAAAAAAAAACTAACAGATACTTATTGAATGTATTTCTTCCTTGCGGTAATTAGATTTTACTGGTGTCAAGCATTTCTAAACATTAACCTTTATCTTTGTTGCATAGTCCTAAGTTAACCGCTAATGTATCCATGGATGATATTAGGCCTTAACCTCAACAGTGTAGTTCGATAAAATTAATTTTACCGAATGTAGTGTAATGGATATGGTATCTAATATCTGCATCGGGCCTAATTTTCAAGCCCAAACGAAATTTTTCCCAAAAAGCCTAACACGAAATAAAAAAAAACACTTGTCCGCCTGGCCCCAATTTATTTCAATAGATAAATTAATATTTTTTTAATTATAAAAAAATTCTTCCATAAATAAAATATATTGTCGCCTTTTTTCTAGAGAGATTATTAAATATAAAAATTTATTTCACAAAATTCAGTGATATATTTAGAAATTCAAGTTTTTTAAAATATTAGGCCCGAATCCAAAACTATTTTTTAATATTAGGCCAGGCAAGAAGCAAGTTTGGACTGGGATTAGCAGATTTCTAATGGTCAAAGAAAAATAGTACCTCTATATAAATACTAACCTTTATATTTGCTGCATATCCCTATTGCTAATGCGGTCCATCATCAAGCCTAAACAATATAGATACATATTGGCTGCTTAGCAAGCTTTAGTATATTAGATTTGCTAGATTCTCGAAAATATAAAAATTTATATATTTTCTTATAAATATTATATATTGCTATATGCCTCACTAAACTACAAATTTAATAGGGATTCCAAAAATATAAAGTTAGTTATAAACGATACTACAAAAAATAAACGCGTTACATTTTACGTTTGAAAAAAGGTACGTATTAGATTACCTTATAAAAAATAGTAACGACTTTACTTTACAGCACTAGTATTTATCAATTAAGCATGCTCAGTTTGCTTATGATTGCTCAAAATACTACTAGTTTTTATCAGCAAAATGATTCTATTTTTACAATTTTTAAAACCTATTTTACATTTCCTATATTTTGGGGCAAAATGATTCGTTTTTTGATACATTTCTGTAAAAAAAACAAAAAAAAATCTCGATATGTTAGGTTCGTTATCGCAGTTATATTTAACATCATACTAATTTAACCAAATTTATTAATAATACAAAAATATAATATATTACATAAAATTATTTAATATTAAATAGTTTAAAAAAAATTACATAATAGTTTAAATTTTTTTTTATTTAAAATAACATTATAACTGATTAAAATGACTAGGTAGTGTTGTTAAACCGCTCGATTTAAACCAATTCTTAAGAACGGCTAACTCAATATTCTAGCCAGATAAATGTTGCCTAAATCGAGAGATTTGGTTTATAGATGTTCAAATCTGCTATCTATGAGCAAAATCATAAGGTTCTTAATATTTTTCTGGATAAAATATTGAGTTAAACGTTTTTAAAAATCGGCTCAAATTGAGCCGTTTAATAACCTATGAGTAGGGAATCAAAAGTTGAAGTTTTATGACAAAAACAATAAAAAGTCCAACAAATATGGGGTCATTATATATTCCATTTTTCATATTTAAATGTTTATATTTTTTGCCAAATTGCAAAGTTATTTCTTTGACATTTTTCTTTTACTTTTCTCCAATAGCAGTGCAATACTTAAAAATGATAATTAATAAATTTTAAAAAATTTAGTCTAATAACACTGATAAAAAACATAATTAATATTATGAAGTTATAATTATAATGATAAATACATTTTAAAAAATAATAGTAATGATGTATTATATCTGTTTTTTTAATAATAAATATAAGAACCCGACCCAAGCTCAAGCTTGCCTAAAAAAAATTTAAATACCCAGGCATCATCAATATTAGCTATAAAAATTAAATAAAATATATTTAAAAAAAATTTTTTTTTTTAAAATCTTGGTGGTCCTGAAAATATTTTAAAAACCAGGCTGGGCAAATGGTACCTCTGTATGTATGATAAATATATCATATTATTATTTTGGGTATTTGGGTGATACAAGTTTATTGTATTGATGCTATGTCTATATTAACTAAAAAGGTGGTATTTATATATTCCTGTAACAGCTTTTATGGAGTTAGAAGAGCCTATTTAATTTTTTGTTGAATCTTCTGGGATCTTTCATCAATTTATTCCTTCCCTCATTCTTTCAACTATATAGATTTCCTTTTAAATTATTTTTCTAAAATATTTTTCCTAGATTGAAGTTCTAGTGATAGAGGTTCAGAGAAGTGGAATGTTTGAAAGCCAAATAGAGATATCTTAGGAAATTCAAATTATGCTTGATAGTTTGCATGGAGATGGAGGTTAACCAATTACTACCTCCCTCTTAGAGAAGGAATAAGATTTATTTCATGCCAAGAGGGCATAAAAAGATCAAATAAGAGTCAGATATACATATGATTTTTTTTATACATAAATTGAAAGAATATTATAATTAATGGCTTAATATAGGTTTTATACATTATCTTTAGGGCATTCACACTGCTTAACTAGAAAATAAAATAAGTGCCCTTTGACAATATTAACATAAGAACCAAAATAACTGTAGAGATGAAAAATTCCTTTACTTTCAGTGGGTATGATGTTTATATAGTGCATTGGTGATGTGAGTCATCTCAATGTTACTCAAAATTTTAGAATGCAATGAAAGGTTGTTGAAATAGTATTTGGTGTCTTATTTATTAGTTGACTTGATGTATGATGTGTGTTTACATTATATGACATTAATCATAACTAAATAAAAGTTGATTTGTTTATATTCTATTATTAACAATTAAATTTAAAATGCACAGTCTACGATCATATAAATAAAAATAGATGAAGTTTACAAACCTACTTTTACAATGAATTACCAATATTTAGATAATTATAATTGTAATATTTCACTAATTAATTTTGAGAATATAAATAAAAATTATAAGACACTTTCTATTACCTTCGGTAGCTCAGTTGGTAGAGCGGTGGACTGTAGACTTAAACGATAGTTATCCATAGGTCGCTGGTTCAAATCCGGCCCGAAGGAATTTTTTTTCTCATCAAAAATTTATGTTTTTAGATCTATAATAATATCATTAATAAAATACTCTATTTTTTTGATAATAAATAAGTTTATAAAATTGTCTTGAATCCATTATACTCCTTCCTTATCCACCTGACAGGAAATTATCTGGAAGCAAAAATATTAGTATACCTAAAAAAAAATTACATTATAAATTACTTTTATAAAATTATAATGGTACGCCCTTCAATAAATTTATAAAACAATAATTTGAATTATTAATGCTATCATATCAACCATGGTAATGTAAAAATTTATTTTAGAACATGAATTAAATTAACCCCCCCCTCTCCCCCCTCTATTTACAATGAATGTATTATTATAGTATATTGTTCGTCATGAATATGAGTAGTTGGTTTGAGGAATAGATTATCGCGGGTTTAGACATCTGGAATCTACGGGTATTTTAATTAAAAACTCGCCTGTGCATTGTTATAAAAAATTTAACCCACTCGCCCGCCCAAGTCAGCGTT